CCCAGTGTCGGAACATGTCCCTGGCTTTCTTTGCCATTGCAGTACCAGCAGAGTCTGCACCGTGAGGATGTTGAGAGTTGCGGGGTCAACGGCCAGCAGTACCCGACGCTATTGACCGCCGCTCTACAGCAGTCAAGTCAACCAAATCATGGCATCAAGCCAGCCTCAATAGTCGCTGCTGTGCCGATCTTGTCGCTCATTGTGCATCCCACGTTCTTCGCGCATGAAACTTCCATAACAAGGGTTCTGATCATTTCCGCTCCTACGACCACTTCACGAATCAAGACATACCGCCTCTCTCCTTGCCTCTTTCTGCTCGCCTGTCGCGCGCCATTCTGCCATGGGACCATATGCTCCGGAGTAGAGCGACTTACAAAAAAAAAGGCTCCGTAGACTCGACCGCATTGCTGGCACTCGTACATATGCCTAAAAACGTTTGCAGCCGTATATGCATGCACGCATAGTAGTACCTATCGATAGTGCGCGTTCGGACTATGTCCCCGGAAGCTATGGCGAACAGTTTGGCGGCGCTGGGCATGCTGTGCACCTTGTGCTCGCTCCTAGCTTCCTGTGGGGTTTGCGCACAACGAGTCGCCGTTTGCTGCTATCGCCCACTATCGTCACACCTCTCATCACGTCTCGGTGACGACGATTCGAACATGATGAGTGTGATGGCATGATGGCAATAAAAAGTATGAGAGGCGCGCGCTCAGGTGGGCGGCTTCGTGATGGGTGGAGGCATACGATAGACCCTCTAGCGGACACCTGAAACAGAATCCACGGCCCTTCTCATGGACGTGCATGACCTGACTCAGCTAGGAACACGCCAGCTGCTAACCACGCGCTTTACGTCGTAAGCGCAATACGATGGCTCCAACACCAACGATCTATTGTTGTCTATGAAATCACCAGCGATCACGAAATCTTCTGAATGTTACTAAAATTGCCCTCTACGCAGCAGCCAACCTTAACCGTGACCACGTTGGTGGCGCTGCGCACATCCTTATTAACCATTCGGCTGCCTACCCCGCCAACAGCACTGAGTTGAGACAGCAATATCCGGCTACGTACTAGGAAGGCATAGGATGCGGTTGGCCGTCATCAATTTCATGCAAGCTGCAAACGACATTCCTTCGAACTCGTGAACTGACGGCAAAACAACTCTCTGGCAGCTAACAACACATCAGGCAATCCCGGTCCCACACAGTGTCAAGTTTCTAGTCAGATCTTAGGACTTGCTTTGCCACGTTACTCAGCCCCCAGGCGTCCTGTCTAAACTCTTCCATGTGTTTATTCTGGTGCCTTGGGCTTCAAGGGAAAGTCTACGGCGTAGACAGGATTCCAAGTGTTTGAGCAACACGGCTTGTCCCTACCCACATGCTCGCTATGCGAAACACTATATCCGCTGCCAACACGCGATATTCTGTTTCGCAGCGGTACGCCTGCTAATTAGTTCGTTGTCACTCAACTGAGCCGGCATGTTTCGTCATGCGGCTTTATGTCTGGGGAAACACACGTGTCCGGGCATGAAGCTCTCTATCGGTTGTCATGCGTGCGCAGATTCCCATGTATCGGAGATTGGACTGAACGGCAGGCGAACGGCACTTGCAGCTGTCACATCCGTCACGTCGGGCCATACAAAAAAGCATCGAGACGTTAGAACCCTCGTGCGAAAAAGCAAAGTCGCGGACCGCAACGTTCGATCTATGTTCGGCTACGTTTCGTTTGAGGGAACTTGCTTTCTCAAACGAACTGGTACCACGAGACGAGGAACTGTTATCGCGGGTACTCGCAATCTTAGGACAGACCTCATTACACATTGTCGCATGTATGCTGGTCAGTCAACTTATCTCGATCGCGAAGTGGTCTCATCATATAAATGGTTATGGTCTCCGCTCTATACGAAACGAATCAATTCTGCGCACGATCAAAGTGCCGAGTTACGCCTTGCACTCTTCGGCACTTACACACCATCAACATTGCCTTGACATGGGCCTCTTCGGGGACACCGCGCCTATGTTGTATATGCACTTGCATCTCAAATATCTGCACCATTTACCTGCATAAGTACTAAGATCTACGATATGTCAGATTGGCAGGAAGCGTAGGATTTGTGTACCGCGCCACCTCCAGTGCTGACCTGACATGCGTATTCTCGATCTATAATTACAGACCTCAATTCCTGTGTGCTTCTTTCGCTTGGGTGGAAGATGGCTATCGAACAGTCATGGTTTCTTCTTGTGTTGTGTCGGTTACAAGTAAACTCTTTTCTTCTGTGCTGTACCTCGTGCAGCTATATCACACCGTAAATGTATTGGCTATATTGCTTCTCCAGGTACTTCAGAAAATTGTACATCGTGCACCTTCAGATTACATCTTAGGTATAGGGTGCATTTCAGAAGAATGACAAATTCTTTGGTATCGATCGAGAACATATGGATACAGTTATTGCCAGAAATTTGAACAGAGATACACTCGGTTCCCATGCTGTTTGTATTCGTGTTTGCAACAGGACATATCGTATCAGATAAAACATGAGCATATTGTACTTCAAGTAGCATCGCAGTCCAATACGAATATTACCCACATTCTGCAACTAGTCTTCGTGTCCAAACATAGCACATCGTAAACACAATCATCACGCATTTTCCAATCGCTGTAAACAGTTTGAACTGTGACCACTATTCTTATCTTGAATCAACATTTTTAGCATTTGGAATACGTATTCCATGTCGGGAAACGTGTAACGACCTACCCAACCACACGGAGCCGGCTCTCCCAGCGGTTGTAGTATCCATCCTTCGTCTTCAACTTGCATGCCTTTTCTAATCCACCTGCCACGTATTCGCTACTTCAATCCAGCCCCCAGCCACCATTTACTAGCACGATATTTGTCTTCCTCTCTCCACCCTCCGATTCGTCCCCACACCTCGCAGTAGCCGGTAACGTCAAACACGGACTCAACACCGTCGCGAAGTGTTATCGATTAGTCCTGCAGACGTCGACCCTTCCCCTCCACTTGGTCGTCCTTCGCTTCAACGCGAAGTAGGTACATGACAGCAGTGGCGGTATGCAGTAGCCGAAACAATAGCAAGTGTGAGCCACGCCACCACGGGTCTGTCGGATACACTAGAGATGTAGGTTGATGGCACGAAGAAACCAGTGGAGGATCCAGAATGGGTCAAGCTACGGTTGAAGTTGTAGGAAAAGCAAAAAAGAAGAGGCTAACGAAGACTGGGTACATATAGATTGTATTGCTACATAATAGCTGAATCCTCTTCAAGAGACAGGTCGAGAGCTTATACTAAGCTCTTGTGACTACGGCTCCGTAGTCGTGATTGAACGTCTAGACGGTTCCGACAACCCGGGAGTCGGGACCTCAAGGAATCGTGAACCCATGGGCATGGTCACACGGAAAAACCATCATGAAGGCATCGCAATTGTGCGGTACGCTACAGTTCGTCAAACATAGGCACAGCCTGGTCCAAGGCCAGGCATTCGATGTGACAGCTGTACTACATCATGTAGACAAACTGGTTGTGTAAGTATGGGAATGTGTCTCACCATCAAACCATCTCCTTCATCGAAGAATCTCGAAGACGGTCTGCAGGCGAGCAACGACTATTGTCGTCTGGCATTATTCTCCGCTAGTCGTATAGCTCACTTCAACCATTAATGGGGTTGGTGAGTAGATATTCTAGCGTGGGCAAAAAGGACCTCACGTGCATGGTATCACGGCGACGGCTGGAGTAACAAATCTCATTCGTTGCCAAACTCCAATCCATCGTGGTATCATTTCGAACAGAAAACTTCGACGGGGCCGCATGACGGCAAGTCCATTGTTCGAGCTAGAAGCCGGTATAACGCCCTGCTTTTCCATGCGCGTATCGCATGCCCAGACCGTGAACCCATGATATGCATTTCATCCACTACGGACGGGGATGCTCGTGTCGATGTCCCTCATCGTCGTGGTGTGTGTCGTCAACCAAGGAAAGCGTTGATACGCTTATGCCTCCCTCTGCTTCTTCTTCTCCTCGCGGCCGGCGCTCTTGCGCTCCAGGATTTGCTCACGGTCCTTGTCGAGCTTGAGCTTGGTGATGACGACCTTGGAGGGAGCGATGGGGATGGGAACGGACTGGCCGTTGCTCTTCTCGCGGACGACTGTGTTGTGACTTAGTATACCTGTCGATATGTGAGGATAGAGGGGTACGCACTGCCGTTGACGTGGAGGCAGTACTTGAGGCGGTAGACGGAGGAGACCTTGCCCTCACGTCCCTTGTTGGAGCCGCGGACAACGGTGATCTCGTCCTGGGAAAAGTCAGCACACGATAGCACTGGGGAGAAGATCTGAATACTCACGTCCTTGCGGATGGGAATGCTGCGCACTCCGTGCTTCTCGCGGAGCTCCTTACTCAAAGGCGCCTGAAGGTTGTTAGAACATGTCTCCTGCAATGTTCCAAGTCTCTTCATACGCTCATGATGACCCGACGCACACTACTCGGCGCACTGAAGTGTGCCTTTCGCGATTTGCGGCGAGAGCTCGCGACCATTGACTGGACCTTGGTCATTTTTGCTGTGGAATTGGCGGGTTGTCGGGTTAGTAGACAAAGTTCGTGTCGCGATCGCAAAAATTGGAGTTGTGAGATGTGCCTTTGCTGGGGCGGGTTCGCTTCGCTAGCGTGGTCGGAAGAAGTGTTTTGCCGATTCCGAAAGGTCCGGCCAGAAAGTCGCGTCCGCATCGTGGACCGCATTCGCCGAGACGTCATGCAGGACGCGTCGCTAAAACTGATTTCTCGAACGACGGCGCATATGTTGCGCGCAGTCGTCTAGTCGGTGTATAAGATTTCAGAGTGTTGAACTATCACCATCTATACCCAACCAAGACCCCGCACCCAAGACATCTCCCGCTCCTTCACGCGAACCACAGTCTCCATGCAGTTGTCCAACCCCACCCGTGTAAAGGCTGCAGAAAGGCCTCCAGGCTTTTAGCAGACGCCAACATGTCCCCGAACAACTACAACCCGTACAGCCACCCGTATCAACAAAGTTCGGCGCAACAATACGCAGCATATCATACAGCATCTGCCGCGAACAATATCGCGCAACCCGCCCACCAGTACAAACAGCCACCGACGACTCAGACACAGGACTATATGTCCTATCAGCCTCAATCGTATGCGAATCACAATAGTGGATACGGCACGGCACAAGATAACCAATTGGGTAATAGCAACTATGGAGGGACACGAGAGACAACTAGAGGCGCCGCCGAAGTCCTGCGTAGTATGAGTAGCTCGACGCCGTGTACGAATAACGCTGCGCCTACGAACGCCCAACCCGGAACCACCGCGATCAACACCGCCTCCCCGCACACCAGCCGCTATGCCGCCGGCAGCTCGCACTCGCCCCTGGTGCAGGCGCAACAACCCCATGCCGTCTACGAGCAATCGCAAGCGCGACCACACAGTGTCAACAACAACCGCGCGCAGCCAGCAACTCGGGGTTTACCATCACCAGCCAATGTGGCAGGTTACCCTTCGCAGAGAACCCAAACGATATATAATTCGCAACAACGGCGAACTGCCAGCCCAGCCCAACCTCAGTACAATACCGCGCCTGTTAGTAATACGCGAAGCGCGGGTATGTCTGCTACAACGAGCCAACAGTATGACGACTACAGCGCTCGACAACCTGCCGGTGTGGAAACCTCGCGTAACTCTCAGAACGCCACACCACCGACGGCTTATAACTACGGCAAGGCGCAAATGCCTTCCGCGATTGCGCTTCCTGCGCCTGCACTGTCTGCTAGCATGGCAGACACTCACAGTGTCCAGGGCACTACCACAGTGGACCCAATGGCAGTCTACGATCCATGGCCAGAATACCAGCGGAAGCAGGCCACACAAAAGGCGATTGAAGATGCAGCACGTGCAGAAGAAGAGAAGATTGCGGAGGAGGCGCGTCAAGTAGAGGAGCAAAAGAAAGAGGAGGCCAGATTACGCCAGTCACAGCCAAAGTCGAAAGGAAAGAAAGCCCAAGAGCAGCAAGCGGGTGCTCCGGAAGCGGCACCTGCGACATCTAGCGACTCTGGTGGCCCTGCTGAAGCACTGGAGAGTGAGATTCGAGCAATGATGGCTAAAATGAGAGAGCTGAATAGTAAAGACCCAGCACTTCTAGCCAAAATCTGGGAAGAAGAACGTAGGGCGAGAGCGCCCAGATCTCCTACCGTGGACGATAGGCCCGCACCTCAATCTGCCACTCTGCAACCGGTACAAGTTTCTCAAGCCTCCGCTCCACAAGTCACGAACTCGAACAAAAAGGCGACACCCAAACAAAAGGTGAATGCGAGTATCTCAAAGCCAGCGACTCCTGCCATAGCCCAAGCTGTCCCTATCAAAGAAGTACAGCCAAACAGCAATATCACTCAACCAACTGGCAACACGGTTTGGCCGCCTGAGAAGAAGGCTCATCTGGCGAGCGCAGCAGCGGCATATCTCAACACTCTAAATTTCGCCCACCAAGTCGAACCTGGCCAGATATTGAGTCTATTGAACAGCAACCCTTCTTACATCGAACTATGCGAACAACTAGAGAAGATGGGTCTGAAGCTAGACCGCGCTGTATTCGCGAAGAGCTTACTTACAGCGGTACCAGATGTGAATTCAGCATCCCGCAAATCTGTACAGCCTGCACCAGTTCCTGCCCAGAGACCACCGGTCCCACCTGCCGTCATGAAAAAGGACGTTGCGACTTCTGTCGCGCCAAGCCCACAACACGCACCCGCAGCTCCCTCACCAGCGAATGGAAGCTCTCACCCGTCTTTTCCAGGGAGCGCGTCGCCTGCACCTGCATCTGTCGCGGAGATGGTGCCAATCAGACCCGAGCTAAGGAAGCCAGCAAACAAAGAAGAAGCAGCACGAAAGCGTAATCTGAGTGATCTGGTCGACCTGACTCAGTTATCAGAAGACGAGGACATGGGGCCGCCGCAAAAGAGGATAAACTCAGATGCATACGCATCTCCATACCCTCATCTCCAAGACACTATGGCCGTCGACGAGGTGCCTTCTACACCAAACTTTCCCATTGCAAACACTCCTTCCTATCAGCCTCAATCACCTGCGCCTCAGCTGATGCAGACTTCTACCGAACAACTTCGTTATGTGACTCTTGTTGAGCCATTAGACAGAAAGAAAGCGCTTCGTCGCAACACTTACAACCCTGCCACAATAGCACGAGATGTGCTTCTCGCTTGTGGAAGGCATCCGTTAGAGCGCAGCTTGAATCAACATCTAGATGGTTTGAGGACTACGTTACCACAAATAGGGTTCGATTCAGATCTCAGTACAATCAAATGGAACGTCATCGACCCAGGAAGACCTCCGCCGGGATATTTCAAAGACGGTGTTCAAGCCTTGACCGAGGATGCAGACGATGAAGATGCTTCAGACGACGAGAACGAGTCGCGCACCCGCGCTCCGCCTAACGCCATTGGCGGTGAAGGTGGGGCGCACAAGGCCCAAGCTTTACCTGAAGGCATCAATCCGTTTAAGCAGAAGCGCCGCGGTCGTCCTCCACGACACTCTTTCCCTGACGGTGCACCAGCAACACCCAAACGCCCAAGCAGTCCCGCTTCTATGAGTTCAAGTGTGCCTCGTCCCACCTCTGGTGCCGCTGGCGTTGGGTATCAAGCTTTCCGGTCAGCCACAGAGTACGGATCTGATGGCAAACCACTGCCAAAAAAGAAGGGCCGTCCAGTTGGATGGCGGAAAGCTATTCATGGCTCTCCTGCTGCACAAGCTCAACCGTCAACGAATGGTCATACCGGTCCTCGCAAGAAGCAACCAACGCAGCCAAGCGCTCTGCGCAACGAACCCATTCAGATCAGTTCAAGATCACCAAGTGTTGCGAACGGTCTTCCGCGATACCAATCGTATAAATGCAAGTGGCAACACTGCCAAGCTGATCTGCACAATCTAGAGACACTTCAGAAGCATATTTACAAGGTACATCGCAAGGAGACAGTTAACAATACTTTGGAATGCTTGTGGGACGATTGCGGAAAAGAGGTCACGAACTACGACCCTATGACAAACATGAGCATTGAACGCCACCAGACGTATTCCTTCGACCTAGAGAGCAACTGGCGTGATCATATACAGCAAGCCCACATTAGTCCGCTATCGTGGCAGCTTGGTGATGGGCCGGCCGCTGGTCTCTCTGGTAAGGAAGATAGTTAGCGGCGTGAAGTGGTTGCGACTGAAGAGAAGATCTACTCTAACACTCTTAATTGCAGACTCGCACGATTCTGAGGCATATCTCAGCGATGCACAAGGACGACAGGTCACTCCACGCATCACTGTCGACCCCGCGCGCATAGAAGCACTGAGCATGTTGCCACAAGCACCTATAGCTAGCGGTCGCGGTCGCGGGCGTCCACCCAAGCGTACAGTGGAGCAAGAAGCCCACGATGCATATGGTAGACTCGTGTCTCTCAAGAGGCGTATTGGTGGACCCGGGATGGATCGTGGAGGTGTAACACTCGCGAACGATAAGCGTCGACGAGGCTTTATTGAAACCGATGAAATGGAGGAGGAGCTGGTAGATGTTGAGGACTGAGTGCTAAGGACTCGACGTGAGGCTCATCTTGCTTGCGCATTTGATAATTCTGTACAAGTACGCGTATACCCATGGTAAGAACAAGGCGCAAAGGAGTGGTCGGAAATGTTTCTCCATGCCCAGATATGCCATAGTTTAGTTAATTCAAACATTTTGAAATCCGTCAGCGGTTAGTTCGCCATATTGCGTACGCCAGAACTCCATGCTTCCATTTGATGGGCATCTCCCTGATTCGCAATTGATATCCTTGGTCCCTCACACAGCCCGTTCTCATGCAACAACATTCTTGCCCAAGTGTCCTTCAGTAAGACGTATACATAGCACAACTCTTACGCCTTGATCTTGCCAGCCGCAGCCTTGGGCTTCTCCTCAACCTTGTGATCGTCTGAGTTGACCTCGAGGAAATGGTATAGAACGATGAGCAGCATAGCAGCGCTTCCGAGGAAGATGGCGAGCGAGTAAAGTTGACTGTCGGTAATCATCTTGAGTGTGACGGCGCGTCAATGGTAGCTAGGTAATAGGGTGTGATGCTTCGAGTGCGCTGCGGAGTTGTTAGTAAAACCAATTGACGAGACGAAATTGCCAAGAGCTTACGGAAGCTAGATGCGACAGAGAAAGTCAAAAGACGGGAGTGTCGCGACGGTATTGGATGCGCAGTGATTGACTATTGGGGTGCATGTGAAGGCCACCTTGAAGCTTCGGGAATGTCGGCGAAGGTAGGGCTGGCTCTAGCGCAACATGCTCCGCCACTCGAAATTCCACCCCACACAGCGTCATTCTCACTTTGACACACACAGCGCAGGTACCATATCCCCCGCCAGGCACCCAAATTCGACCATCCAGGGAGCCCGGATTGTTTGAACACCCCAAAACGCACTCCCCACTGTCATTTCAACACCGCCCATATACACTAAGCCAAAATGCCACCCAAAGGCAAGGGCGAGCAGCCCAAGGTGAAGAAGGTCGCCGTAGACAAGACCTTTGGTATGAAAAATAAGAAGGGAGGAGCCGCCCAGAAACAGATTGCTCAGCTCAAAGCGACCACTGCATCGGGAGGCACGCCTGACGAGAAGCGCAAGGCGGCAGAAAAGGCGCAGCGTGAGAAGGACAAGGCGGCGGCAGAGGCAGCCCGCAAGGAAACCGCCGAACTCTTCAAGCCCGTACAAATCCAAAAGGTGCCTTTCGGAACCGACCCCAAGACTGTCTTGTGCCAGTTTTTCAAGAAAGGAAACTGCGAAAAGGGCAAGAAGTGCAAGTTTAGCCATGATCTGAATATCGAGCGCAAGACCGAGAAGAGGAGTTTGTACACCGACACCAGAGATGAAGACAAGGAGGCCGAGGAGGAGCGGCGGAAGAAGGATAACATGGATGATTGGGATGAAGACAAGCTGCGACAGGTCGTTCTAAGCAAGCACGGCAACCCGAAGACGACGACGGATAAAGTGTGCAAGTACTTCATCCAAGCTATCGAGGATCAGAAGTATGGTTGGTTCTGGGTGTGTCCCAACGGAGGTAAGCTTGAACAACAAAATGCATTCGAAATATACGCTGACTTGGATTCTAGGCGACAAGTGCATGTACAAGCACTCTCTACCACCTGGGTACGTGTTTTTGCTTCTTTCGCCACACAGCATGTGCACATCTGTACTAACACTTTTCTAGTTTCGTCATCAAGACCAAGGAACAGCGCGCCGCCGAGAAGGCCTTGATGGCCAACTCCCCGCTCAACACCCTCACCCTCGAAGACTTCCTCGAGTCCGAACGCCACAAGCTCACCGGCAATCTCACACCGGTCACGCCCGAGACATTCGCCAAATGGAAGAAAGAACGTATCGACAAGAAACAAGCCGAGGAAGAGGCCAAGAAACTCAAGGATGCCACTGGTCGTGCTATGTTCGAAAAGGGCGACTGGGCACAAGACAGCGATGCGGATAGTGATGATGAGGACGATGGAGACGCGTGGAATTTGGAGACTATGAGGAAGGAGACCGAGGCGGCGAGGGCAAAGAAGGAAGAGGAGAGGATGGCTGCTCAACTTGAGAAAATGGTTGTATCTTGAGGGATGCACGTCTATCTCGGATCGAAGACTATTGGAGAGAGAGCGAGAGCGATAAGGCGGGAAGAGCTCGCTGGCTGCCACACAATGCTGCAACAGCTTGCGGGGCATTGCCGGGACCCGGCTTCGATTGAAGCATGTGGAGGCAAAAGATTGACTTGAGCGATCGTCGCATCATGAGCATGTTTGGCCGTGTCTGGGCTTCAGCGTTTATGCGGCATGGCTTGGAACACATGCAGAGCTTAGTCGGCTTTGTGTGTCTGGCGCTGGCGTCTGGGTTCTGGTATTATTACATATATATACATACATGGCTGTACGAATATACGGCTAAGTTCGCCTGGGCAAGTCGTAAGCGACTTGCGCTGTGGTAGTGACTTCAAGGAATGCATCCGATTGATCTTGACTTGAGATGATGGTAAAACCGAACAGATGTGTTCATATCTGGACAAGCTCCTCCACTTGGTGATGTCTCGGTGCAGAGTGAATCTGAAGACATAGGCAAATCAAGACTTGCATTGCATGTTGATGCTGACCACGCCCAACCTTACGGTATATTTTGGTAACTTGACGGCGCATTTCAGATATTCGACGCAAAAATTTTGTGGTTTCGCGGTGTATTTCAGTATCCAGTCTTGTATCATGTTCCATCAATAGTAACATAATTTCAGAAGGAGCTAAGACGTCGTGCGCCTACACCGAGGACAAAGACTACCCGGAAAGCATCTTCGGTAATCGCAAGCGTACTCTTCTTACACATGTTGTCTTGTCTTTAATTCAGATCTCCATTCGGACCTATTACCGCCATGCTCATTGGCAGCTCACAACACCTCGTACGAAAGCCAGAAAGAAGCAAGAATCCTGCTGACGACCAAAACCTCTACGGGAGAAGATGCGGTAAATGTACTCGGAAAGTGGAGTCTTTCACGATGCACACAATCATCGCAGGATCACTCCAAGGATGGTTGCTCCGAGTTTGGCGCGCGTCCATTGATTGCCACTAATCCCCATGTAGCCACGCTTGACCCGGACAAGGAAAGGCGCAGTTGCCGTCTTGGCACCAAAATGCCGCGCTGCAGTTCCGCCTACGCCTGGTCACACTCCCCGCAACATGACGGCATGCTTGTTCGGCCACGCTAGAAGCATGTACCAGTCCCCAGGCCCTGGGCCTTTCTCGCATCCGATTTCGTTGCCGGCGCGCATTACACTCCCGAGTTGTCTTGCCATGACTACACGCGGCCGTATGGTGGCCGACACTAGCCTTGGTCCGTGACTGATGGCGTAGTCAATTGATCGTCTCTTAAAGAGTCGGCTGGGGTCGTTGTTTTTAGTGGTTTGATTAATATACTTCATAACTTTTAAACACACTCCTAGCCTCGCTTTCCTATACAACAGAGGTATACCAACATCTCGGTGTAGCTAAGAGCGAAGGTATTCCTTGACATCGATCATCGAGTGTGGGGCCCTTTCCGTATTCCCGGATTTGCTCCCGTCTCATCTATATCCTGCTTGAGAATCCCACTGGATTGAAATACTAGCAATGGCGGTGGAAAACTACGACGTCGTTATCGTGGGCGCAGGACCTGTTGGCCTTTGTCTTTCAACGTGCCTGGCGAGATGGGGTTACAAAATCAAGCATATCGACAATCGACCGGAACCGACCGCCACTGGACGGGCGGACGGAATCCAGCCACGTTCCTTGGATCTACTCCGGAATATGGGCCTCAAGCGCAAGATTATGGAGTACGAACCTGCAAAGGTTTACGAGGTGGCTTTTTGGGACCCGGCGCAGAAGGGCATTCACAGGACAGGTACTTGGGCTAGTTGTCCCAAGTTCATCGATGCACGGTACCCTTTTACTACGCTTCTCCACCAGGGCTTGATTGAGCGGACGTTCATTTCGGATATTGAGAAGAACGGCAGTGGCATCCAGAGACCCTGGACGATCAAGGGGTTCAAGAATGATGGCAAGGATCCGACATACCCTGTTGAGGTCAACCTGGCGCATGTTGATGGCACAATGGAGGAGACTGTACGCGCAAAGTACTTGTTCAGTGGTGAAGGAGCGAGGAGTTTTGTAAGGGACCAGCTGGGTGTCAAGATGATCTACAAAGATCCTATTGCGCATGTTTGGGGTGTCATGGATGGAGTTGTCAGAACGAACTTCCCAGACATCAAGGTATGTTTGATTCGCTAACCTGTTTTTCTACTGAATACTGATCTCAGTGCAGATGAAATGCACAATCCACTCAGACAACGGCTCCATTATGATCATCCCACGCGAGAACAACATGGTCCGCTTGTACATTCAAGTCGCATCTTCTACAGATAAAGACTGGGACCCACGGAAGCAGGCTACTGCAGAAGACGTTCAAGCGCGTGCCAAAAAGATTTTCGAACCATACACCATCTCCTGGGATCGCGTGGAATGGTACTCAGTCTACCCGATTGGGCAAGGTATTGCTGAGCGCTACACACTCGACGAGCGCGTCTTCATGGGTGGTGATGCCTGCCATACCCACAGCCCCAAGGCTGGCCAGGGTATGAACACAGCCTTCTTAGATGCAGTAAACTTTGCATGGAAAATTCACCACGTAGAGAGCGGCTGGGCACCACGATCCCTTCTGTCGACATACGAGTCCGAACGCAAACTCATTGCTGAGACTCTCCTCGATTTTGACGCCCGATACGCAAAGCTCTTCTCCGCCCGGATACCCTCAGCTGGTGAAGTCGCTGGTGCATCAGCAAAAGAAGCCGCCGAAGACAATGAGTTCATCAAGACATTCAAAGCCAGCTGCGAATTCACCAGTGGTTATGGCGTAGCATATAAACCCAACATGGTAAACTGGGGCCCAGAACACCCCGCACAGCACCCCCTCATCTTATCGTACGAAAAGGGCACAACCCAACGAACAGGCAGAATCATGACACCGGCAACCGTCACACGTGTCGTAGACGCCAACGTCGTACATCTGGAACAAGAAATTCCCATGAACGGCTCCTATCGCATGTTCATCTTCGGCGGTGCCTTGGACAAGAGCGCAACAGCACTCAAAGACCTAGCAACACAGATGTCATCCCCAACATCCTTCTTCAGCACTTTCCTCCACCGCGACCTCAAGGAGAAGGATCGCTACCACGAAAAACACAACCCACATACCGATTTCCTTTCTCTGGCTCTTGTCTTTTCGCAGCCCCGCTCAAGTATTCACATTGATGAGCAGTTGCCTCAGCCATTTAACCGCTATGCTGACCATGTTTATGCGGACGACGTCTGGGACCAGAGGGTGCCGGATGCGAAAGCTGCGGCACATGCTAAGATGGGGCTTGACGAGGAGAGGGGAGGCGTCGTTGTTGTCAGGCCGGACGGGTATGTCGGTGTTGTCGTTAAGCTGGAGGAAGGGAAGGGGACGTGTGATGCATTGGACGCGTGGTTCTCGGGGGTTACAGGGAAGAAACTTGGGGGTGAGCGGGCGAGTCTATAGACGGAGCGTTTTCCAGTCATGAAGACACTTTTAGGACTTGCATAGCGTTGCTTTAATTTCTCTACATAAATGTATGAATCCGTTCAATCGGAAACCAATTCATGATATTTGACAATATCTTCGGAGCGCTCCTGCCTAATGAATGAAGTGACCTCATCGTGCACGGACGTATCGCGAAGGAAGGCGCGTCGTTGAAAGTTAAACCAGAAACTCTCATCAATGTTCGTCTCTGGCTAGGCACAGACTTGCTTACAGCTCAGAATTTGCGCCGCCATACATCTCAGTCTAATTCTATCAGTGCCTAACGCGACTCGTTCTGAGACACCCAATGCCTAGGTAGGGAAAAGGCCGTATAACTCCTTGGATAAGGGATGTAAGAACTAAGAGGCATCGGTACGCCCACCGATGATGACGCCCCGTTACGGGGGTTGCTTATTGGCTCAGAGCGATGCAACAACAAGTCTACGCTCACACCGGCAGCAAGGCTGAACTTTAGGATGCAGTAGCTTTCTTGAAGAGATTGTTTGAGCGGGTCTCTATGGAGTAAGATAGTGCGGCCAATATCCTGGAGGCCTAATTGCCAGCGCGATGTGCTACCTGTGGACGTAAGCTGACAACAAGAGGCGTACAAGTGTACATGATCTTGAACACCCTCCCCCTCCTCAAATCGTTTTCTTTCCACATGAGCCGGTTGCTATCGAACTCTCAGTAAAAAGACTATGGCGCAAAGGTCATTGTACGTTGCAGGCCTTGTGCCACTACTATTCGCGGTGTTCTACTTCCAACTCGGCAACCTCTCAAGCTTCTACAACTATGCTCTTCAAGCGTTGCAGACACCGTCCGCAAGTGTTACGCGTCAAGCTCCAATGACCAGAAAACCACCCATCATCATGGCGGCAACCCCCGCCTTCAGCCACATGGAAAAGATCACGACGATCACCGAAGGTCTCATTTCACTCGGATACCCCGTAAACTTCATCACTGGGCCAGACTTCAAAGACACTATTGAAGCAATGGGCGCATCATATATCCCCATCGAAGGTCAGGGAAACTTCATCCTGTCCGACGAAGACCTAGCAACATTCGTCAGTCTGCAAGGCAACGAGCTCGAAGTCTTCGCTACGACAGCTATCTTCATCAAGACCATTCCTAGACATTACCGCACGCTGCAACGAACCTTCCAAGAGTTCCGTGACCAATATGGCGAGAAAGAGAAGATGATTTACATCTTCGACTTCACGTTCGGTGGCTCATACCCTGTCGCCTACGGCGCACCTGGCATTCGTCCTGACGCAGCGATTGCTATAGGTCTGGCGCCATATGTGGCGGCTAGTAACGATACGTTCCCTTTTCGTTCGGGAAAGCACCCAGATACAAGTCCAGAGAGTAAGAGGATCCATTTTGAAGCACAACAGGCCCAGAACAGGGACCATCCTATCGATACTCCTGTCAATGAGGCTGCCAATGCCATGCTCCGGCAGATGAATGCGACGAGAGATGTGCCAGGCTTTAACGAGATGGCGAGTTCTGGGTCAGATATATTTCTTCAATACGGCGTTCCGGCCTTCGAATATGAACGCAGTGATTGGCGACCGAACCTTAAGTTCATGGGTGCACCCGTGTCCGTGGGGATCGCAGACCACACGCTCCCGGAGTGGTGGAACGATGTGCTTGATGCAAAGGCAGCTGGAAAGAAGATTGTTGCTGTGTCTTCCAGCAGTGTGGTCTTCGATACGAGTGCGCTTATCAAACCAGCTTTGGAAGCATTCGGTGGTAGGGATGATGTGTTCGTCATTGCTACGTTGGTTACGTCGGATGTCGAAACGCTTGACTTCGAAATCCCAGAGAATGCTAGAGTTGCAAAGTTCATTCCTCTGGACTTGGCTCTGCCTTACGTATGTATACCTGTGGCACAAGCGGGGTTTAGATTCATTGTTACTAACATCAAACAAGGTAACTGTGCTAGTTACAAATGGCGGATACGGCACTGTTCAACAATCACTCCGTGCTGGTGTGCCCATGATTATCTCTGGAGTTGGACAAGACAAATTGCATACTGGAGCTCTCATCAACTACAAAGGCTTTGGCATATACAATGCTTTACCTCAGGTGACTGCTGAACTCCTGACTGAGTCTTTCGATAAGATGATGGGTGATGCAACATATCAGTACGTTCTTTTTCTTCCTCTTGCTCCAAGGCCGGACGACAAGCTATAAAGCTAACAAACCATAGTGAGAGACTTGGTGCCGTAAAAAAGGACTACGCGAAATATAATGCGGTGGAAATTGTGGATGAGACGATCAAACAGGTACTCAAGGGTGAAGTGGCCATCTAGCTATGAATGCTGGGTCTAGCGATGTACTAGCATCGGTTGTGGTATGTTCTCCAAGTCAGTCGTCGGGTAATCAAGTGTGGATACGGATAGCTTTATAGCGAGTATCATGATTAGACACCTCTTATGCACGACCACGTCGTATCGCAAATGCTCTATCTCACCGTTTCACTCATCTATGTATCCTTCAATTCTGCAGCCTCGCCAAAAAGATCTACATTGAGCTAGGATGAATCGCTTGCCACACGTTTCGTACATTCAGTGTCACGGGTATCATCGGCCTCAGACATGTGGTCTCTCGCTCGTGATTGGGTCAGATAGGCATCGTGATAGTGACGATGAAGGTCAACATGTGGTGTACTCGAGCTCCGACCAATGTGTCAACGTTGATGCGTTGAATAACACATAAAAGAAGCTGGGTGCTCTGGGAACGTATTGCTGGTAGAGACGGCGATACGGCTGCTGTAGGAGGTAGAATGTTACCGTCGTTGCTGGTTACGAAGCCCCTAACTGCATTCAAAATCCAATCTTCCTGCTCACGGAGGAGAGATTGGAAAGCCAAAAATGAAGACGTCCATCGCCGTAGCACTCTCACTGTACGAACTTCCTGCTGAAGCAAGACGGTCTTAAAAAAAGCGTCGTCATCACTAGCAGTGTGTCATATCCACCGTCTGCGACCAGAAGGCAAAAACAATGTCCCCTGCCAGACTCGAACTGGCGGCCTTGGGATATCTACTATAATAGTAGTCATATGTGATGATATGAGACCCACGTGATAACCAACTACACCAAGGAGACAGGAAATCGCTACACCAAGCGATGATGAAGCTGATTGATGACTAATTTTCCATAAAGAAAATACTTGAAGTTGGAAGATTCAAAGGCAGATTGAGTTGACGGTGTTCTCGGTTGAGCAAAATGTTTGCGGGTGGGTACTGGCCACGGTGTATCAGTCCGTTGGTCCGTTGTTTAGGTGTGGGTACTCGCTACGACGAGTTTGCTCCAGTCGGGAACAAGAACTCCAAGCATTCTACCAATGAAAAGACTCAAACTTAGAGCAAAGAACAAGTAGTCGTTCGCAGTGTTTTCAGTGGTTGAGTGGCCACTAGAACAATGCGCGTGAGCCTGTAAAGAGGTACAGAATTCAAGTCCGCTCAGAAGTCCACTTTTTGGACCTGTTTCATGCAGCAAAAAGCTACAACGTCGCTGGCAAGTCGTCCTAGACAACAGGAGCCCACGATGGCAAAAAGAATGGTCACTACGAGGGTCGAACTCGCGACCTTGGCGTTATTAGCACCACGCTCTAACCAACTGAGCTAAGCGACCGATGTTTGGTTGTTTTCGATGGAAGAGGGCCAAGTTGAACGATTCATCAAGAGAAAGGTAGTGAGCATTGCTCCAGATCGCGAATCGCTGAAAGCATGTCTTGCTGAGCTTGTTAGCCTTGGATGAGAGAAGCATGGTGGGGCGAAAATTCTGGTTCGGACTTCTCGGACGGATCATGGTGGGGCAGCGGCAAACCTGCAAGATTCAGAAGCAGACCTGGTCAGTCTGACATAATCGTGGCGCTCACATTTGCTAGTCGAGGTAGATATGATGTACTCGTACTCTGACAGAGTGAAGAAGTTGTGTTCAAGTAAAGGGCTCGATTGTCGAGCCATGGGTATCTCAGATTGTAAATCAAGCCAACGCCAGCGCTATGCAAATGTAAATCTCGGCTATGGCGCACAGTCGCACTGTGGTTAAGAATGTTAAACAGGGCCTTCTGACGGATGTCGTGCCTGATAGTCGCCCGCTTGTAGCGTGAAGGGAGAGCGTCGACAGATGGCACTGGGGCGCAGTGCCGCAAACTCGCTTCTGGGCCTCCTGAACAAGTCAAGAGCAAATGCCAGATGTTAATCATTAGTCGTTAGTCATCGTTATCAGCCGCCTAGCTGTCCCAAATACTTCTCAACCTCGTCGTTGCCATAGAACATCCTTTGCAGCTTGTCGTCTCTCTTCTTCTGGACTTGTGCCAATTTCCTCACCTTGCCAGCGTCGAGCCTGCCTTCTCTGACGTCTGCGCGGCTTGCGCCACCCAATGCCTTTCTTTGGGTGTGCTCTTTCTTGTCTATTCCCAAACCTAGCTTGTCTCGCTTCTCCTTGGGTACCAGCGGAAAGAGCATGCCCTGACCACTGGTGCCCAAGCCTTGCCGTGCATCGACGTCGTAGCCGTGCTTCTCCATATACTTGAGTCCCATTCTCGTTCGATCAATTGCGGAGGGTATGGGCGCTCGTGGTAGTGCTGCTTGGTGTGCAGGGCTCAGGTAGTGTATTCGCTGGTCCGTCTCTTTGACAGGCTCACCACATATGCCGCATCGAGGGAAGGCGTCGGGTTCTGGCTGTGGCTGGCCGTTCGGGAACATTATCGCGAGGTACTTCTCCGCCATAGTCTTGCCGTTTGTGGATGTCGTCGTTGGTTGAACTTCTGGGGCTGAAGACACGAACTTGATTGGATTCTTCCAGAGGCCACGTCCAAAAGCGCGTTGTTCGACAAAAGGCTTTGTTGAGACATTGGGGTCCTCATCTTGAAGCTCGTCCTCGTGGAGCTCATCCGCAGTTGTTGGTGTTGCAGCAGGAGCGGTCATGGTGACGCGTCTGGCAAGGAGAAGCCGTTATAGGTTTGAGGTTCTCCGGTGGTGAAAGGAACGACGCCGCCATGCAAAGAAGTTGAGGTGAAGAGTGAAATCTGGGCGGTGAAGCCAGGCGGCAATCTTCGACGCGCAATCACATGCTATGACGCCACGTGGATCCCTCCCCTTAGCGAGCCACCATCGACCCGCGTTCCTGCACATCTTCCGCTTCCCGTCACGCCGTCTCACCAACAACCAAAATGCCGGTTAACATCCTCGCTACGGCCTTTGACCAGGGTCTCGACTCCATTCCGTACGGCTGGACCGTCCTGAAGTTCGTTTCTGTTTGTGCAGTCCTGTATGTCTTGAAATGGTACTTCAATGGCGCGATCAACGGATCGGAGAGGAATATGCATTCCAAGGTGGTTATGGTAACGGTAAGCTTTTGCTTCATAGAGGCACAAGACAAGTGTACTGACAACCAGAAAGGGAGGAACATCTGGCATAGGCGCTCAAGTGGTCAGGGAGCTGGCAACTCGTGGTGCACAGATCGTTCTCCTGGTTCGACAACCACTCGTTGACCCCTTCTTCGTCGACTACATCGAAGACCTCCGAACCCAAACCGGCAATGAGCTTATCACCGCCGAGCACGTTGACCTTGAGAATCTACACAGCATACGTCAGTTTGCAACTAAGTGGGTGGACAACGCACCGCCGCGACGCTTAGACACAATCATCCTCTGCGCGAACACAATGACACCATCGGGAGGGACACCAACGCAGACGGAAGATGGGCTGGAATCGACTTGGGGACTCAACTACATGGCCAACTTCCACTTGTTGAGCATACTCAGTCCCGCACTTCGAGCTCAACCTCCTGACCGAGACGTCCGCATCATCTTCGGTACATGTCCGGCATACGTGGGAGGAAAGCTGCCAGGTGCTGATGCAAACTCGAAGAATGCCGGAAAGAGCGATCCTGGACAGCTTGATTTTACCCCGTCCACCGTATACGCAACCTCCAAACTCGCCCTTATGACCTTCGCTGTAGCCTTCCAAAAGCATCTCACAAACTATGTCCGCCCTGACAAGAAGCCCATGAACGCACGCGTTATCATGGTCGATCCGGGCTGGACACGAACACCAGGTATGCGACGATACCTCACTTTTGGCTCGCTGTGGGGGCTGGCGATATACCTCTTTACGTGGCCGCTATGGTGGCTCGTACTAAAGAGCCCCGACCAAGGCGCGCAAACCTTCTTGTACGCGGCTATGGAGGCACAATGGGGTCGGGGAGAAGGAGCATACTTCCTCAAGGAATGTAGGAGATCCATCTGGACAAGGAAAGAGATCGATGATGAACAGCTGCAGAAGAAACTATGGGAGAGCAGCGAGAAGACCATCGAGATCCTTGAGAAAGAGAGCGCGAAGAGAAGGGCGGCGGAAAAGAAGCAAAAGGAGAAGTCCGAGGGCAAGACCACTGCGAAGGAGACTAATGGAGAGGCCAAACAACGAAAGTAGGGGCCAGCAGCATCTTGTTCGTCAGGCTCTAGACGCCCTTAAAGCCATGCAATACAACAACCCTGACACTGTCGTGTGACGTCCAACAAGATCTTAGAAGGGCCATTTGGAACCCACTAGAAAGAGTGTGCTTCCATGGTACCGTCCAAGTTTGCTCATAAACAGCAGGGCAATCTGTGGTGGTATATCTTGAGCACCTCTATCAACCAAGACTGGCAACTACATCCAGCCATGTCCAGTCTTAGAAAGTTGTTTCCTGAAAACTCGTTTCCTAACAGACCATACCTTCCAGCCGAGATAGTGCTCCGCATCGTCACCGATCCATGTCTTGAATACTGCGACTTGTTCCGCCTCTCCTGTGTGAACAGAAACTGGCGTTCCTTAATCTCTGGTACCCCAGAAACCCAGGCGTTGATGTTCCTGCCAAGCAGCAGGAATACGCCCATCCTACCATCCTCACTTCAGTCAGACCCAGTGATAATCATCGATCAGCCTTATCTCCCGCGTGGATGGGAAGCCAAGCCTCAGGAGTCTGGTCAGTCAGTTCCAAGAGTCCATCTGTCAGATTTGAGAGGCGATCCATGGGATCGTGTGGAGCTACATCCATGGCTCAAAGAGTTCCTCGTCCGTCCCATTATCCGTTTCGAATCCGATCAAAGACTCCCAGGTCAATTGAGTGTCAGCTACCAGCTGCTGAACCACTGTTACAAAGAATGCTTCCAGAGACTTGGTGCAACGTGGCGCAAAATGTTCGTCACCCAGCCTCCACTCCAGCACTTGATTCTTAAAGTGAAAACTTACAGCTGCTGCGCTAAACCTTTGAGATGTGAACCATACTACCCTCAGTTTTTATTGCAGAACCAGAGAGGGGTAACGTTCGGAGACGTCATTGACGCTATTGTGCAGACCCGGCTTCCACACAACGCTGGTCTCGTGGAGAATGATGGCAAATGTTTCGACTTTGTGACCATGTGCTATTGTTGGCATTACACCAGATTCGGAGAAGGTGCACATTGGCCGGAGACGATTCGAGCTAGAGCGGAAAGGCAAAAAGTGCTGGCTGGGAGACGTACAGGATAGAGTTTAGAAGAAGGGTACTCGAAGATATATCTGCAAAGACCTGCAACTAATTGCTTTGAGACCACATCAGGAGACAGTTGATTTCTGAGGCGTACACAGTCACTATAGTCACTGTACTATCATATCAAATCTACCAAGTGAAAATACTATAGCGAGTCGGTTGAAGCTAGTGCTTCAGCCTGTATTCACCATCGGCAGCATTCTGCATGCTAACACACAATGCTCATTTATTCTCCCTCCTCTTTTGTACTCAACCCTTTTTCCATTCCTCTCTTTATTTCCCTAGTCTCACTGCGACCGACATACGAGTTAGAGAACTCAGAACCATGCCATTTCCATCAAGTGTCCTACGACAGGTATCAGTCATGAAGCCCTACACTCGCAGCGCGCAGCCTCAACGACTTCGCACTGTGTTCGACACTCCGATTGAATCTACTCCTATCCTACTGCCTCCGACGCCGACGGTACCTATCATCAACCGCCTTCCAGACCACATGCTTAGTACGGTCACGAGATCCAGTATGCGGTCAGTGTTGCTTGCTGGGATACTTGCCACTGGAGCTGGTATGACTGTGATTGCGGAGTCGGATGTGCTGGCTATGTCGAACACTCCCAAAGGTGTAGCGTGGTTCGAGAAGAACAAAGATCGACTAACATTTACAAAACTTAGTAGGAAGATAATTTTGGAGAAAGAGAATGGGAAGTGGGGGGCTAGAGTTGAGCGAGACGAGAAGGAGTGAGCTCGCGACAGGATCCAGTAGGGCCTTAATTATGACCGTCAGTGACGGTGGTTATCATACGTTCATGTTGGAGCAAATCTAGTCATGATGGCTTTTCAGTGTGCAGCTAAGGCACACAGTATCTATGTTTCGGTATCATCCTCCTTCACGGCATTAGCCGCCTCTGCAGTACTAGGCGCCTCCCCACTGCTTTTAGACTCCACCTTCATCCTAATAAACTCCTTCTTCATACTCTCAAATTCTTTGAACCCCTGGAAATATTTCCTTCGGAAGTCGTTCAACTCACTTGCCCTGGTGCCCTTCTCATACTCTTTCTTGGCCATCTCAAGCGCACCCTCAGGCACCTCCGAATTACGGCGCCGTCGATACGTCAGTAGTCTGCGTGACCACTTGTTGAAGGCCTGAACGCAGACTGATGTCAGTTCGAGACAGGGATGTGACGGTATAATCAGCTCGATGTCCTCGTCATTCGCAGTTGGCATCCACATGCTGATTCGACCATCTTCCACTAGCGTAGCGACTGCAAAGGCTAGTATGTCATCGAGCAGCGCGGTGAAGGAGTAAGGCCGCTTCGGGGGTATGTACCCGGGCTCCTTGAACTGGTCTTGGTGAGATTGCCTCTCGACGTCAAGAAGCGCTTGCCGGGATCCCAGAACCTTGAGTCCTTCTCGGATACCGTAAGGTGGGTCACAGACGATACCATCGAGATAGCCTGTCGTAATGCCTTTCTCAGGTGGCGGTATTCTCAGTGGTGTGTTTGTCAGATCAGAAACGAACGCGCCCAGATAACTTGACTCCATATCATACTGCTTGAAGTTGCCGACCACGTCATATTTTCCGGTCTGTCCCCTTCTTGCGCTTCCTCCAAGGCCGCGGATGGTACGGCCGTCGATGTCACTCCCAAACACCACTGCTCCGAAGTGAGCGCATGCTATCGGGAAGCCGCCCGTGCCCATAAAAGGGTCGTAAAACAACTTCCCGGGTGACACGTGTGCGATATTAGCCGTCAACAGTGTAAGCTCGGCGTCCATGGATGTAGTGCTGATGTAATGCCTTTTCTTGAGATCAAACGTCTTCTTGGTTTCATTGCGACATGACTCGGCAATAAAGCGGCCAAAGTAAAGGTACTTTGGAGTTTTACAATTAAGATCGTAATCTTCGAAGACACGGAACGCGACATCTGGGTTTCGCATCTGTGGTGTCCCTTTGAAAGCCATGTACGAGAAGCTGTCAATGATGTCGCGCTGTTCATCATTCGATCTACTCCCGCGATAGCCTTCTACCGTAAAGCGGAAAGATGCGGTAATGTACTGGGGCCACCAGGACGTGGTCAGACTGCGGACGGAGTCGTGAAGGGCATCGTATGTTGATCCTTCGCCCCATAGCTCGTATATGCCCTGTGCTAGGATGCTCCGTGCGATGACTCTTCGTGCCGCAGCGTCTGACGGCAGATCGACAATGCAGTAGGGTGACTTTGTTCGTCAGAAATGTATGCTTTTGGACAGCGTGACGCGACACTGGCATTTCTTTTTCCGAGACGTGACCAAAACAAACAGTGGAGAAGACATGACGGACGAAAGCGAGGAAGGAGGAATGCGTGATAAGGAACGTGAACTTACATCTTCTTCATATTTTACAAACTGTAGAGGCACTCCTGCAATGTCGGCTAGCGCTTGCAGTTCGACTTTTCGGAAAGTCTCGTGTGCTTGCGCAAGCCTAACGAGATACTGAGGCATGTTGTTGTTTGATAATGGAAATTTGAGACTAGCGGAACCCTTCTGTGTAAGACGCGTCTCAGTCAGGTATCGGCATGACAGGCGTCGATCACTCGGTCGTCGCTTTTATCGCTGGTAGTCAAAAGCGGAGGAGTCACGGACCATGAAAATGGGGCAGAAAATGGTGGGTCAGGGTCTCAATTCTTCATTGGCTCCCGACGTCGCTAAAGTTTAGACTACAATCCTTCTCCCAACCTCCACTCTGCATTCTCGATCCGATCTTCAAGACAACTACAATCTGCAGGGTCCAACTAGTCTACCACACTGTCTCTACGCTTTCTTTCGATGAATTCCACGTCCGCTTGCGCCTCGGTCATATTGCAAACAAGATTCTCCACTAACTCTTCCTTTGTTGTGAAGCCTTCGATCCACCAATCTCTAAACTTCATCAACTCACCAACCCATGCATCCCAGAGATACCATCGACCCTTGTCGTCTCGCAATATAAATTCGTCGCCCTTGGTTTCTTTGACTACCGGACAGAGACCATCAATGTTGTAATCGTTCGCTACGTTTACTTCGTCTTTTGGATCGAAGCAAGCAGAAAGATATAGCTTCTTTGGGTCGTTGGTCCATGATCGCTCAACATTTGAATCGTATTCTTCGTTGAGTTGAACGTATGGTATGCCTTGATCGTCGTATGTTTTTCCGTCGGTCGTTGTGCTGGGGATACCCCATAACCATTCTAGAATTGTTGTGTACATCTTAACGCTGGTGTTGCAAAGAGTTTATGGTGGTACAGTAAGACCAGAGTCACTGTTAAGGAAGAGCTTTGGCTGAGATATGACGGATGATAGGACTTGTAGTATGTGTAAAGAAATCACAACCGTGCGCAACATGCTGATTTAATAGGGAAGCTGTCGCTCAACTGACGTATCTTGCGGATTACACGATGTACAGATTTATGTTTACTTTTTTCAGGTACCAGATTTCGCTATACTTACGTGTCGACGCTACAACAAAGTAACAAGACGCTATCGCATATAGCTGCACGATAATCACAAAGTAAGCTCACCGCCATCCAATCGTATCGCTCCCGATGTACTAGTCAAGAGGTAATTCCAAACGTACAGTCCATTTTTCTGGCAAGCGCTACCACCGGGTACGCAGCCGTGTACTCAGGCCGCACTGCCATGTGCCACGGAGCCGGTCGGGTGAAGATCAGGGTCGTCAGTAGGGTCATCATCCGGGTAGACGGAGCCAGCCTCGAAGTCTCTCATTCCGCACGCGAAGAAATCCACTTCACACTTGTTGAATGACGTGGCTTCGATGTCTTTTGACTTGATCACGAGACCTGCGATCGCACTCATGACGAAGATGCCATCGCTGCTTGTCCTCTGTGAGGTCGGGTTGATCGTGGTCGTTACACTACCCGACAACCAGACTGCACTCTACGCGTTAGAACTTGAACGCAAATTTGCCTGAGCTTGACCAGAGTATCTCTTTGCCGGGAGCTCGTCAGTGTGGGTTGACCGATCAAAGAGAAAGGCGACATTAGCTTCAGTCAAGGAACCAGTTCTTGGTTCACTAAGGACATGATACTATCTCCTTGGATGGTTTGGGATCGGATCGTCAGGTCTCTGGCACGTGGGAACCTATGGCTGTGTTTGTGTGTACCTTTTCTGGGACCGATGTCAGAGTTTGTGTAGGCCTTGAAACGTGTCACTCTATGAGTGGAAGAATACCACAATTGTTCCACAACAATTCCGTGTGCGGATGATTGTGTTCGACGCAGGTACGCAGTGGTGTGGCTAGTGATGGTCAGGAACGAAGCCAGTGACGAATAGGTTTGTTCATTCTAATGATGCACTTCAACAACGACATGTTCCGTACCCGAGCCAAAACGAACTTAGAATGGTTCAGTTTTTGTTGCGGTAAACTGTGAGGAGTCTGATTGGACTTCTTGCGACCAGCTTTTATTGAAGTACTCTGCAATGTCGTCCACCACGTTAACCGTGGACCTCGAGGAGAGCGCAAATGCCATGAAGCAGGGAGGGGAGGGGTTTGGTATCATATTAGCAACATAAATGCATCGCCCTCAAAGTGCTGCTAAGAAGTGCACTGACACTGCCCGCTTTCGATACTAGTTCCACCCACGAAAACTACCTGCACCGAAGTGAACCTGGATTCGTTAGCAAATTTGCCTATATTCAAGACGATAGACTGACGCCGCAGTGGCCGCAAATATCTCAACAGGACGGGCCGTTGTGAAGATGGTCAAGACCAAGGCAAATACTCCTGAGAACACTGCAATCATTGCAATCCTATGCCGAAGATTTTCTATGAAATACAGTGCGACGATGGCTGTGAACGGCAAGATGGCAGATAGTACAACAACCAGCGCTCGAGCGATTCGTCGTAGGATTCCAAACTTGGTTCGCCAAATGTACATGCTCTCTAATCCGACGATTGGCTCCTTTTATAGTCTTGTCAGTATGAGAGAATTCTATATGGATGTAAGACTTACTAGGAAAATTTTCTTGAAAACAACAGGAAGGCGTGGTACCAAGCTCAGCTCTAGCCATCGTGCGAATTTGTCATTAGGAGACCTGTTTGACAGGGAGATAAGATCTGGATCCTCCAATTCGTCATACGCTCGACGTTCGCATCCTTCGAGGAAACCTTTGCCCCCTTCCTCATGCTGTAACCAGTATCTCAACGATCTCGAATCGAAGACATCGGCTCGATCCAGCTTTGAAACGCGGGCTTGTTGGAGTAAACAGTCATCTGTAGATGTGTAAGTCGTGGACCAAATATTGAAAGATACAGTCAGATTATACTGTACTGCCTTAGCTTCTTTCTGATCTCAAGGATCTTGTCCCACTGCGAGCTGTTGGACGCTTTCCTCATCTCCCCTACGTTTCTGGCAAATTTCTTCGTGGTTGGGTCATTTCCATTCTCATCAGCGTATGTGATAGCCTCGAGTTCTTGCTCTAGACACAGAAGTTCAGCCTGCATGTACAGCAGGTTGCGCATGTTGAGCTCTGCGAACTGCTTGAACATCCCTGACCCTCCATCTGCATCCAGATCTTGTCCCACCAGTCTTGCAAGTCCAGGATAACCATCTTGAATGCGCCCGGATGTCATCTCGTTCATAGTAGAATTCTGTATGAGACAGGTCAGAGCCACAAAGAGGTATCGAGAGAAGATATTTCAGCCTTCTTTGAGATGCCAAGCATTAACTTAGCCTTGCAGATAGCCATGCAGTCAGCAAGCTTGGTCAAGTGATACACTTCCAGACCAATGAATTTCCGGCCTGATGGTCACTATCCTATCTATAGGATACTTCAGCCTAGGATGCTTCACGAACTTGCGCGATTTTGAGCTTACACTAACGTGTAAAGCCACAAAATCTACGACGATGGAGAATCCCACAGCTGAAAATAACTCGATCGATGAGAGCACTTCCCTCCAAGTGGTTGGCGTCAGAGGCAAGTACGGGTGATCTGGTAGTAACACCTTCCAACGATTGACAAGGCTGCAAGAGATCCAAAGCCATCAGCGTAACGACAGAAATAGAGCTGGACAAGCAGAGCGAATACAAGGGGAAAGAGTAGAAAACCACTTGCTGCTACTGGTGCAAGTAAACCAACCGCAGCCAGTAAAACCACCGCAGCATGTACACTACCACCAGCAAATCAACTACAATCAGCAGATAAACTACAACCAGAATTTCAATTACGTTCAGCAACAACAAGCACCAGTATGGTACCCACCAACAGGATGGCAACGAGACCAAGTGACAGGTCAATTTTATCGCGATTATTATGACAATATCAGTACGTTCCACATGGTTCAAAATGACGAGTCTTCTACTGATGTTTTGACCTTAGCCCAACTTTGGAGTAAAGATTGGTGGGATCCTCAACAGGGTAGGGCGTACCGTGTTGTGAGGGACTCGAATGGTTAGTAGTCTCTCCACTGAATCGGATAGACAGACAATCTAACGACGTAAAATGCCAGGGAATCAGCACAGTTCGTGGTTGTAGTCCGTTCTCCAAGTGGTTCCGGTACTCCCATAGATTGTATCGGGCCTCATATGCAATGAGGGAGACCTTGGGCATGACTGAGCTTCAGCGGCTACCAAAGCGTAACATTGTGTCTTCGATATCGTCTACTTCCCACCCTGGTTGAAGTTCATACTATATCCCCCACTCTTCTCATCTTTCGTGAACTGGAAATTATCCGTGCTCAATCCAAACGGCTTCAGTATGCCATTACCGAGCTGTTTCAACTTGCCCATCATATCCGCCATCTCCGTATTCTTCGCCTCTTCCAGCTGCCCCGGCAACTTCCTCAACGCTGCCTGTACAGCTTTCTGGTCCAGGCTCGAGAGCTGGTGAGGCGTCTTGGAAAGGGCTTGGTAGTCTTCCAGTGATCCTTGTAGAGATGCCCAGCCACCAACTTCATGGCGTGCTTTTGCGCGACGTAGAAGTGCTTTCGTGCGGAGTTTGTGGACGTCATTTATCGTATGGTTGGTTCGGGTGAGGGCGTCGAGGTAGAGTTCGGTTGTATCGTCTATTTCAGCAATTGCGCCACCGCCTGTTACTTCTTTCCCTTCATTCTTCTGTGGTGGAGGATCTATCCGGTCTAGCGCTTCCAGAGCTTGAGTCGCAGATTCTACGGCTTGCTTCCACTCTTCCAACTTTAGGTGGCAAGCTGCAATGTTGGAACGGAGGACGGCAATATCGTATTCAAGGTAAGAAGGGCATACTGCTAGCGCCTTTTCATAGCCTTGTATCGCGCCGTTGTATTCGCCAGATGTGAATGTTTTGTTCGCGGAAGCTTTCTCCGTGTTCGACTCGTCCAGCAGCTTTTTCTCTTCATCTGGCGGAAAGATTTCAGGTGTCGCGGTTTCGGCTACGGCTGTACTTGATTTTACCGCCGTTTCGTCCTGTGATGCCATGGTCGCGTGTTCTACCAAAGTTTACGTGCGGGTGCGCGTGTGCAGAAAAGGTAGATCTGTTTCCGAAGTGACGTCTGTCGAGGTCCGATTAGCGTGCCTCGGCCACGTGGGGTAAACATCCAGGCAACCCCAACTTTCTACAATCCTCCATTGAATCTTTACAAGAATCTCTAATACCCAGGTTTCTACCTACATCTTTTCAAACAACTTCCAAGATGAGCTCTACGTATGTATGAACCTTGGAATCAACACAAGATTATACTAACTTTTATGTAGTACAACCCCACCACCCCGCATCCGGGCAGCGCTCTTCGACATGGATGGTAATGAAGCAACTACTCTGGTTCCTTCCATGAGTTTTAACACATTCAGGTCTTTTAATCGATTCCGAAGACCTCTACAGCATCGTAACAAACACAATCCTCGAACGCTACGGCCGCCCTCCCCTGCCATGGTCCATAAAAGCACAGCTCCAAGGTCGCCCCGGCCCGCAGGCAGGCAAGATCTTCCATGAGTGGGCGCAACTTCCCATATCTCACGAGCAATTCTTGAAAGAGCAAAAAGAACTCCAGACAAACTTGTTCGAAAAATGTAAGCCATTGCCTGGTGTTGTGGACTTGCTGGCAGGATTGAAGAGCAGGGGCGTACACATGGCGCTCGCGACGAGCAGTCAAAAGGCCATGTTCGAAATCAAGACTGCGCGTATGAAGGATTTGTTTGATGGGAATTTCAAAAAGGAACATCAAGTGTTGGGTGATGACCCCAGGATACCTGCTGGACGAGGGAAACCCGCGCCGGACATCTACCTGTTAGCCCTATCTACGTTGAACAAGACGCTTGAGGAGCAGGGTCAGACACCCATAAAACCAGAGGAATGCCTTGTATTCGAAGACAGCGTGCCGGGCGTGGAGTCGGGAAGGAGAGCAGGTATGCAGGTGGTTTGGTGTCCGCATCCTGGGCTGCTTGAGGAGTATAAGGGGAGAGAGAAGGAGGTGTTGGCGGGATTGACGGGGGAACACAAGGAGGACGAGGAGGAGCAGTTGCAAAAGACTGAAGTCGACGTTGCGCAAGGTAAGAGAAGGGTTGGAATGCCAGGAGAGATCGACGATGGATGGGGGAGATTCCACAAGAGCCTAGAGGACTTCCCATATGATAGCTACGGTATGGGTACTAAGTCATGAGGCTTTCAAGGAACGCCTATGTTGGTCTAAAAGACGGTGAAATAGAGATCTAGCATACAGAGAAGATACCCAATAGATGATACAACCACCACATCAGACTGTCAAACATTCTGAAATTTGTTTCAGCCATGAAAACATGATTCGTATTCTTTTGTCATATACTCCATGATGTGGTCATTACCTGCAATAGCACACTTAGGATGGACTCGGAAATACGCAGCGACCTATAGATGCAACCATCTCCCATCCTCGGTCAGGTATCAGACTCCAAACCCTACCCCCAGAAGATCGAGCAGTAACGCCGGCCAGTCATGCGCGCCACCCAATCAATCTCTTGCAGTCATAAGCTTGTCGCGAGAAGATGGAGCAACTACGCGACCTCCTCAATCTTGGGCTTGTCGCCTGATGGTGCTGCCTTGTCCTTGCTGTCCTCGTCGTTCTCAAGCTCGGGCATGTCGTCATCATCGTCGTCGCTGTCCTCTCCGCCCATGCCTCCCATGCCGGGCATTCCACCGGCACCGCCCATGCTCTGCATCATGCTGGCCATGTCCATGCCTTCCATTCCTGGCATACCGCCGCCACCGCCTGCGCCGAGCTTGCTGAAGTCGATGCCGCCGAAGCCACCGTCACCACCGCCCATACCGCCAGCGCCCATTGGGTTCATCTGGTTCATGGACTCGTCCTCGGGTGCCTCGTCTTGCTCGTCCTCGTCAACCCACTGTGATGAGTTAGTGTATCGCTCTTGGTTCATCCAGTGTCGCACAGCTTACCTTGTCGAAGTTGGTCTTCAGGAAGTGCATCTTCTTGTTGTCCTTGAGCAGGCGAGGCCAGTACTCCTCCTTGAGTTCCTTCTTGCGCAATACCATTGTGACGTCGCGTCCGCTGTGGCTGATCTTGGACTCCTTGGGGTCGATCTCGGCGAAGAACTCAAGGTCGATGGCGTATGTGACCTTCTTGGATGTTGAGGTACCCTTGAAGCTAAGTGACTGCTCCTTGAGGTCCAACTTGAGGTCTGACTCGGGGACATCGGCGGCGACGATGGTGAGGTATACGTAGTTCTTCTCGGGGTCGTCGCTGGATGAGCGTTGCGCCCAGGTAACTGTCGCGCGTCAGTATCTGTTGAGTATGGTTTGTACATGCTCTGCTGATGCTTTTCTGTCTGTCGCGAGTAGGCGATTCAAGATGTACGTAGGCCCTTGCGTTGAACGCGGGCGAACGGCCATGTGTAGTGCTCCGATAGCATCTCAAGAGCTCGCGTAGGGGGCAAGGCTGCAGCTTACCTTCGGGAGTGACAGTGGTCATGTTGAGGGTGAGAACTCTCTTGTGTTGTTTTTAATCGAGTTTGAAGGGTTGCTCGGGATGTAGAAGTGGTTGTATGAGGCGTCTGTTGTGTAGTTGTAATGTAGTGTTTGGCTAGACGAGCAGATTGAAGGCGGAAGAAATGCAGTGATGTGGAGGGACTAGCGTGGAAAGCAATAGAAGCTCTATGGAATCTTGAAGTTGAACGCCCCGGTTTTGGTCGATCAATTACGGAAAGCAACTCTTAGGGATATGCAGCTGTAGATTCTATAGGTGTCTTAGATGCGCTTGATTGCCTCTGCCAATGTTGCGTTGGCTGGCAATCCTCCAGGGCTCGATGCTTGAGGCTAGTGGGTTGCAACTGCCCCGCGAAAGAGCTCAACGTCACAATGGGCCCGAGCTCGATCCTGGAGCCGTTGCAAGGCACCGCTACCACAACACCTCGGGATCCTTGGACTTGCACATGACATCGCAACTCACCTTGCTGCCACCACTTTACCTCTTACCCACCACTCGTTAATCGCCTGAATACAACTCGAGCAATCTGATACGCTTGGAAATCCACACGCGCTGCACACGCCCTCACCGACTCCCGCTGTATCCGCACCAAATCGCGCATACATCAACGACACCTGGGCATCGACTTGCTCAGACGTTCAGAGTACACCACACTGAGCGCCCATTATGGAGACCATCAGGGGTCTCCTGTGGAAGCCCACACCAGAGGAGCAGGTACATTGTCTTATCTTTAGCCATGCTGTCCAACCCTCTAACAAGTCTATAGAAGCGTAAATGCAACGCCCTCGTCCGCCAAAATGTCCGCAAACTCGACCGCGACATCCAACAGCTCAAAGCCACGGAGCAAAAAACCAAAACGCTGATCCAACAATCCTCCAAACGCGCCCAACGCAACCCTTCTATGGCAAAGCAAGCCAACCAAGACGTGCGCATCTTCGCCCGCGAACTCATCCGCGTACGGAAACAAAACAATCGGCTCATGACGTCCAAGGCGCAGCTCAATAGCGTGCAGATGCAAGTCAACGAAGCCTTCTCGGTGCGTAAAATCGAAGGCAGCATCAAGGCGAGCACAGGCATCATGAAGGATGTAAACAGTCTGGTGCGATTGCCAGAACTGACGGGCACAATGCGGGAGCTAAGCTCTGAGCTGATGAAGGCGGGTATCATAGAGGAGATGCTGGATGACACGTTGGGCGAGAACGAGATGTTGGAGGGTGAGGCTGATGAAGCCGAGGAGGAGGTTGACAAGGTATTGAGTGAGGTGCTCAAGGATAGGTTACCGCCGAGTAAAGCCAAGGAGGAAGAACTACCTAGTGCGCCACAAGCTGAGGAGGAGGAAGAAGACGATCAGGCCGAAATGCTCGCCCAGATGCGGGGACGGCTTGAGGCGCTCAAGAGCTGAGCGAGTCATACATTCTGTTACCTTTGAACCAACCTGTTGTAAACAGCATGCATGTTTCGTTTATGCGGAGTTATGGCGTACAGGGAGAGGCCCTTGCATACCCCTATGTGTAAATAGTGGTCACCATATCACAATCCATTTACTCATGCCAAATAGTCGTTACATCAAATGAGAAATTTGTGTGACAACAACAATTCTTCATTCAAGCGCCGAAGCGCGAACACGATCATGTCAAACTACATGCCTTATAACTTTTTGGTATCAAGTCGTTTCGTAATTCAGTCATCCGCCCACCCATCCATCATGACAACACTCTGTATAACCATCTCTTCCCATACATGCATCCACAACAAGAGGCTAATACCCCCAGCATAACGAAACAGCTCCTAATCACCTCGTATAATCTTGCCAACAAACTTCAATTCCCATTCCTTGGGATCCTCGCCCACAAACCTCGCATTTGTCTTCTGATCTAGCATCTGCATCGTAACGGCGATGCCATCGTACCATTCCCGTACTCTATCGTTGTTGCTGTCGTCACCCCACACCGACAAAACGCCGTCTGGGCTACGGGGCGTGGGCTTGGGAGGGACACCCCGCATCTTAAGCAGCATGTTGAGTATATCGCTAAACTTCTCGCCTTGCTGAGAGAACGTCGATGGTGATTTATCGAGTGGCCACCTGGGGTTTCGTGGTGCTTGGTGAGAAGAGATATCCAGCGTAGGTGCAGACGGCGAAGAGGTGGATTGAAGGGCTGTAGCGATGTCGTTGTCGACAGGGGCTGGTTGTTTGAATGCGTCTCCGTCAGCTTCTGGGGCAGATGGGGTGGTAGACGGCAGATCCCAGGAGCGGAACAGCCAGCACATGCGCTCTACACAGGCAAGGAGGATTACAGCGATTAGGAAGGTCTCAAAGGGGTTGGCTTGTTGACGTTGGAGGAGGCGGCGTTCGAGATCGTTCATCACTACACGGGCTAGACATGCGGCACGCTTTTCAGTCGCTCCCATGAGTTGCATGGTGATGAGATTGTAGGACGATTCGTGATCGAGAGGTGTAATGGGTGTACGGATAGCGTCCTCCAAATCTGCTGGCGCCAAAGTGGACGGAGTGATGGTGGGTGCCAAGGAAGGGTTCGAGAACAAGTACCATTCAAAGTTCCGGGATGTGAGTACGCGTGTAAGGTTCCATAGCTCCAGTGCCTTTGATATGAGTCCGTCTGCGCTTGTTGATGCAACGCTCTTTGCGACGTTCACCGTCATCCTCATGAAATTCGAATCTTCGGTATCAGAAAACTGGCCACCCATCTTCTTGATGTAATGGTCTAGCTTCCCACTGACATCGTCATCACTATCTATCAGCTCCAGGTCCGGAGAAGCTAGGCCGGCGAAGATCGCAGGATCGATATCGGTATTCTGTGCTATTTGCGTCTGCTGACACTTCAGCGGTGTGAACGTAGCAAATATGCCGGAATGAGGAAAGTGGGTTGCTTCTATGCGTCCTGGCGTCTGATCGAGTCGTATCTGACCTTTGGCTTGGTTCGTTGCATGGAATGCCAACACACTATGGAGTCCTGCAGAGTAGAGACCGAACTCCTCTGCGATCCTTGTCCTGATACACGGCTGCTTCCATAATCGCGCGCTCTCGACATTCTGGCAGGTATTGCACGGGTTATCGCCTGAGCACGGCTTCTTGAGCATGCGACACCGAATGCACGCGCCTCGTTTTCGCACCTCCTGCACTTCCTTTCGCCTGGAGTCAGTGAAACGACCCCTGACCTTGGGTTTCACTGGTTTTTGGTTCATGCTAAAGTCGGTGGTGAAGTGAGTCTGGTTACCTGGACTCATTGCAAGCGGCCGTTGCTGGCCCATGCCTTTGTTCAGCTGGTCGTTCGCGTGCATCTGCTCCTTGCCATGGTCTTGTAGCATCGGGTCGAGCGAGTTGGGCTGTATGTTGGGCCAGTGATGGCGTCCCTGCGGATGGAAGAACTTCCCGTCCGACATGCCTTGCATCCCATGTGCCGAGAGGTTCATGTCTGATTCCATGGGCATGCCGTTTGACAGTGGCATGAGATCGTTTGCAGCTGATGCTGCCATAACGAGCGAGGGGACCATATGCGACATTGACCCAGAGCTTCCCAGAGGCATGTGGCCTATATGAGGTGAGGCGGTTGGTGAATGATGTAAAGGCCCATTGAACTGGTACATGGATGGCATCGCTGGCGCATGCGACATATCCATACCATGTGACAGACCACCCATATCAGAGCCATCAGGCCGATCATCCTGTATCAGAAATTCATCCAACAGCCCTGCATGACTCGCATTGTTATTGTGGTTATGGTTGTGGTTGTGGTTGTGGTTGTGATTATGGTTGTTCTGTGGTTGTGATGGCTGCTTCTCCGCCATGCGCTTCCCAGAGAGGTCCAGATGCTGTCGCGACACCTCGGCCAGCGTCTCCAGTGCTGAGAGCTGCTTGGAAGGCGCAAAAGGAAGGTTCATCTTCTGGCCATGCTGCATTTGACTCGGTCCCGGTGCGTTTGGACTGGCCGCCTGTGTCATATTGTCGGGGAGAGGCAGCTCGTGCATCTGCAGCAGCGCGCGCTGGCGGTCTTGGAGAGGTAGCGCGGGACATTTCTTAACGAGATGATTCGTGAGGCTATCTATGCGACCTTTAGGAAACTGTTTTCCATCAGCTATCGTCGTCAACTTTTCCAGGGCGGGGTTGCTCACCTTCTCACCGCACGACTTGCACGTGTGTTGGTAGCGATTGCTTGCATCTTCCAGCTTGGGACCGCGCTCGAAGTACTCGAGGATCAATTGGTTGGGTCGTCGACCCATGATGGGCCCAGAAGTTGCACGCTTCAATAATGTGGTGGGCGACGGAATATTACTGCCGGAAGTATTTGGCGGTCAGTAGCCGGCGGTCCAAGAATGCTGAAGTGCGCCATGGTTGGACGCTGTGTCAACGAAATTAGCGTTCCCGCCAGCCCTACCCCAGGTCTGACATCATTTCCGTCTTTCACTTCCATCATCGCTGCATCAACCAGATGGATATCTATACCCAATAATGACGATCAGGGATAATCTTCAGTTTCTTGAATCATCTGCTCGCGATAAAAGTGGTGAAGTTACCCGATCTTAGAGTAGTCTACAAAGTGGTTCAAGATACATGGCATGAACTGAAGTCGTGCCTCTTACTGAAGGAACGATACCAGAAGCGCGCAGATGGAGCATCGAAGTCGCGATGTGGTTCTGCAGGCTACGGATCTGGTGTTACCTGATCGTGTACATGTTCCTGACTAGAGACGCGACTAGCCAGGGTGCAGTCCGCCCTGCATGCATATACATCTCGCAGACCTGCATCGAGCCAGAAAAAGACGATACATCTGAAACGAGATTGGTTAGTTTCTTGCTATGATCACTTGATCGAGGTGATGGTTGTTGTCCCTCAAATAAGTGATGACGTCTGTACTCGTCATACCAGATGAGTAGGCTAGAACATCAACTACGGCAATGTCATACTACATATCTGATTGCTATATTCAGTTCATACCTGCGACTCCTCAGCAATTCGACTCGAGACACCCATTCAACCACCGAGATGCCGACCACAAAATCCCCTGCCACAAACCCAAACATCACACCCGACCCATCTCAGAATGGTTCCACAGTCCGCAAAGCCTTCCTCTTGGAAGCCTTCGCAAACCTCTTCACCATACCACTAATAACAAACACAAGCTGGACGCTTTCCCTCCTCCTGAATAACCCCTCTCGCGATATCAACCCCACTTCGATCCTTTTCGCCCGTCTTTTCGGCGGTTTGGTCGTAGGCGGTCTGACGTCCGCCTTGCTCGCGGGCGCGACCAACACGCGCAATGGTATCGAGAGTCGACGACCTACGTACATGCTCCTGGGACTTGGAGAGGCGGTGTTGATCCCCATGATAGTATTGGATTTAATAGAAGGAGGAGGGCCAAATGCAGCGCTAAGCAAGGGGGTTGCTGCGGCTAGTGTGGCGTGTTTGGTACCGCCGCTTTTCTGGAGGTTGTATGTGCTTTTCGTTCGGCCAGATTTGCTAGGAAAGTACACAGAAGAGGGGAAGACTAACGGCGGTGCAAGGAGCAGCGGTGGATGTGAGTGTTTGCTACATTGTGCTGTGAGGATGCCAGCTAATTTGATCCAGATGGTGCTATCAATACGCGCGAAGACTGAGAAGATGAGAGTGGTTGCGAGAGACTGCGCCATGAAGGCCAACGCCCTGTTTCTGAATGTGGTCTCGGGAGCCTCTGCGGATTGTAGAATACCTTTCATGCTATCACACTTTTCCATGTCCTATATGCAGAACAAATCTTCCATTAACGCCTCGCTGAAATCATATGCAATGTGTCTTCCCAGATTTTCACATAGAGCCATGCTTCTTAGTCTGCGAAGCCTCCCCACTCTGCCTCTGAATCTTCCTCCTCTTCGGCATCCTCCATGGCCTCCTCCAATTCCTGCCCTCTCCATGCTCTTATTCTGTCATCAGCTAAACACTCTTTCGCCGCGTTTCTCAGCGGCTTCAGTTTGCCGTCCTTGGCCATCTTCTCAACAGGCAGCACCAGCGTCTCCAGTGTCTCTTTCTTGTCTTCTTTCTCCCATGCCTCTCCCTCAACCTTCTCCATCTCATCGACCCAAACATCCATGACGTGGTATCTCAATCCATTTGGAATTCTCATATTCTGGCATTCCAGGGGTATCTCCTCCATGACGGCATTCCATTGCTCTAGCAAACTCTTCTTCCACTTGTTCTTGCTCAGAAATTTGAAGGACGCATTGAGGTATTGGCGGATAAGGTAGAGGTACTTGTCTAATCGCAGCGCCTCAATGTGGGTCCATTCGCGGGACATGGTGAGGAAGAAAGCGCGGATGAAGGGCAGTACGACGGGCGTTCGGAGGCTCGAGACTATAGAGGCGAGATCGCGCGATAGGCCTTGCTGGAGGGCGGGTTTGTCTTGCATCCATAGGCCTAGGAGTATCTTGTTAGTTCTTGCGAGATTGGTTGCGAAGCTCTCGTATCATTACGAGGCGAAGTATGAAAAGCGCATACAATAAAACAGTCCCTTCCATAGTTTCAGTAGGTCCAATTCCGATATCTCTGATTGCGCGCCCAGGTAGGTTTTGAGTGAGTTGAGTGCTTCGTCGCGAACCTTCTTGTCTGTCGCAAACGTTAGCTTGGTGATCTGAGGTTTTCCAATCACAAACTATGCGTACCGCTAGAGGCGAGGTTCCTTATGAAGGGGTTGTTTTGCGCGTCTGATGCCATGATTTGCTATAATGTGTTGCGACGATGTCTCCGCTCAGAGGCTTGAGTTGCGGCCAAACTTTTTTTGGAGGGCTGATGGCGCTAAGATAGCGATAAACCACTACAGCCGCGCTACATTCAGATTAGCGCATCACAGGAAGTTCACGAACATTGCAGACACGAGCATGTGAGAGAATCGCACTGTGCGTCTTTGTTGAGAGCAATCTGCCATAAGAGTTGCACGCGTTAGCTCTAGGCATGTGAATTTAGCATGTAGAGGCTACGTTCAGGTATAGAGGGGCCAAATCTGAACAGTCTCGCAATTTTGCGAGAGTGGAGAAAATGCTAGCATATCTTCTAGTAGAAGGCAGTAACCTTCAAAGCGATGTTTACCTAGGTAAGATAGGCATATAGATTTACTAGTGAGAAATCACTAACAGTGTAGTCTGTGCACATGCTTACTAAGTAGTGTTTGCTGTACCCGCGGTACACTCGCAAACCTACCCTAGAATTAAGGTGCCTAACTTTATTTCTTTTCTAACAACGGAAGCAGACGTCTACTATAACTTTATCTCGCTAGTAATCTCTCTAGTAAGACTTATTTCTGAATTCAAATCTTGAACAACTCTATAATCTTCTAGATTAATTACTCTTACAGCGTAAATCTATACTACAGCGCAATCTATGCTTTAAATTATTTGCTAGAAATACTCTAAAAGATTTCAACTAGACTGTTAGTAAGGCTAACGCGATGCAGTTGCGGGTTCAGGGATGCCGGCTATGGTCGTGATTCCGACGAACGGACACGCGAGGCGCCGTGTTCGCGTAGACCGCGTAAGTGCTTCCTAAAGCCCTAAGCGTGCACGCAATAACACTTACATTGTCTCTAGGTGCACTCTGTTGTCGCAAATCGCTTTGAAAACGGCGTTGGTACTCCTTCACCCTGTATGGCCCGTGCTCCGTGCTGATATCAAGATCCAGGATGAGCAATACCTAGTACGATGGAAAGCGGAAACATCGACTACAAAACCGCCTCTTAGTTGGCATTCGGTGAAGGAGCTAGTGCGCTGCTTAGAACACATTCAAGATTACCTTGAAGAGAGGGAAAAGCAAGCTACATCTCCCCATCACTATAGCTTGTTGCTAATTACTTCAAGGAATACGACATCAATTCAGCAGACAAAAACATCCAGGAAAAGGAAGAGCCCTAACGAGGAATCGGAACATGACCGTCGCTCATCACCTTTTGACCGACGACTTCAAGAACACCGGACGCCGTCAGCGTCTCGGTCACCATCTTTACCTTGTGTCGATACATCTACGTCTCCTACCATCGACATCTACAACGGTGTTCTAGATGCCGATGAATATGGCCACATCTTTTGTCGTAAAGTGAGTCTTCCAGCAGACTGCCTTCTCTCACCACTAATATGCAACACAGGCATCAGGTCAAGGTATACCGGAACTTGAGATCCGTGATATCCCCACACTGGAGATGAACCGGTCTGCACATCATGCCAGTGTGGGCAAAGCACAAACCTTGATCCGCAACGAGTATGTACGTAGACTGGAGAAACTACCGGGCAAACGCATCCACTTGTTCAATGTGGTTGACAATGCCACTCCATCCTTGCGATTTCGATACATTTCCGATTACGTGCTGCAACAAGGCGTCTACCGTGCATCTACTGAAACGCAACAAGGCTGCATGCAATGCTCACCACAAATGGGCCGCGAAATTGGATGCGAGTACACAAAGAAATGCGACTGTCTCGAGTATGCTGCAGTCGATGAGAGCCGCCTTGACGATCAAGGCAAGCGGGAATATCAAGAAGCTCTCGACACTGGAGCGTCTACCATGGGGTTCCCCAAGAAGTTTCCATACTTTGCTGAAGGCACTAAACGAGAGAAGACCGGCTGTCTCGTGCCCTTTTACCTGAACTCCCGTCGACCAATCTACGAGTGCAACGAAAAATGCAGATGTGGTCCCTACTGCCGTAACAAGAACGTGCAATTCGGTCGTCAAGTGGAAGTCGAGATCTTCAGAGCGAATGACGGGCGTGGCTGGGGACTACGCTGCAAAGTAAGTTTTGAAAAAAAAAAAGACCAGTATTCGCGAGACATCCACTAACGTTGAACTCACTATTATAGGAAGATCTTCACGAAGGCCAATTCATCGATACCTACCGCGGAGAAGTCATCACCGACGCCGAAGCTACACGTCGTGAGACTTCTTCCTCAAAAGCAAAAATGTCGTATCTGTACTCTCTCGACAAGTTTGCTGAGTCAGAGGGCCTGGACGAAAAAGATCTCTACGTCGTAGACGGCGAATTCATGGGTGGACCAACCAAGTTCATCAACCACTCATGTGATCCCAACTGCCGGCAGTATACCGTCTCGTACAACAAGCATGATCCGAGAGTTTACGATATTGCGTTCTTTGCCCGTAGGTTCGTTCCCAAGGGCGAGGAACTAACGTTTGACTATCTGGACAAGGAAGAGGGGGACGAGATGGATGAGCCGGGTGAAGGTGCGATACCTTGTCTCTGTGGTGCGAAGAACTGTCGTAAGTGGCTGTGGACTTGAAATTCGGGTAGCTTGGAGGCGCGCGTGGGCTATTGGAGTTATTGAGCTGGCATACGGAAGGAATGTGGGTAGCGGTCAACGCGGTGGCAGATGTTTTCCTCTAGCCATTGGTATATCACTCTGCATGACTGGTGGGCGTCGTGGCGTTTATATATCCAGGTTGCCGAATATACTGTACCCTCGTGTCGTTTGTAATAGACATTCCTTTTAGCAGTTAGTTATCGCGTCTTCCCCACTGATTCCAAGCCAATCCGAACGGCCCTTGATCCACTCTTCTTATAATCATCACCACTTGAATCCCGAGTGTTCCAAACTTTGAACTTACATCTCGTCACGTTGAAAACTTGAGTCACTTCACTTTGCGACAGCACTGCCTCAAAGATATCTTTCTCATTGCTTCTGCCCTTTCCCTCCCCCTTGCAGTAATCCCTCAACCCAGCCCATCGATATATCTCTCTGCCCAAGCCGCCTCCGCTCTCAGACCAGACCAGACGAGACCAGTATAGCATGATTCATGCTCACAACAAAAAATTACAGACAACGCCAGAGATAATTTTCCAGCAAAATGAGATGCTGATTGATAACAAAAAAGCCCTGAAGAAATCTCCGGCGCGATCGAGAAACGAAGAAGTTGGATGACCCAATACCCTGGAACGCCGCTGTGACGAGTAAGAAGCCCATTTGTCTATGATCCTTTCGCAACAAATGAGTGGAGTCAAGAGAAAGCCCTCCCGTAGAAAGGAGGTACTCAGGTGCTGTGATGAGCACACTACGTGTTTTACGTCTTCTTTCGGATTACTCCCAGTCTACCGTTGCCCATGACTCTCTTGATGATGGTGATCATCTCCGTCATGATGCAGAGTGACACTGTTGAATTCCTCAAACGGATCTGCAAGTTCGCCCATGGGTGTAGCGAGACCTGAATCTAGCGGGACGCCCTGGACCCTCGCAGCTCCAATATCAATACTATGGGATTCCTTAACATTCCGGAAGTTGGGCGTCTCGATACCTTGGCCCTGGTGAGGGACAATCGGTGGCTTCATGTGCCGTAGTAGGGCCCACTGCGTTGTCTTAAAGAAGGGTGCGGTCTTGATGTCGGAAGCGCCAGCACGAGATCCGAGGCGTCGGGTTTCGTCTTTGATCAGGAGTTTGCGAATGATTGCTTTACAGAGACTGGGGTTGTTAGGACAAGATTCTCAACACATGCAGGTCCAAACTTACTTCGATACTTGCGGCGCGCCAGAACCCTCCGGGAAGGGTACCTCGTCCCGGAGAATGTTGGCAAACGTTGCATTGCGGTTCTTGCCCTTGAAAGGCGTAGTTCCATACAACATCTCGTATATCAATATACCAAGGGTCCACCAATCGACCGCACTTGTGTGTCCACAGCCCTTGATGACTTCTGGCGCGATGTACTCCTCGGTACCAACAAACGAGTTGGTTCGGAAGTTGTTTATGCACGATTTTGTGTCAATAGTAGGCAGATTGTTTGATGATGTACCGCTTCGGCCGCTGAGAATCATGGTCGGGCGACCGCCGGGTTCAGACTGTTTCGACAAATCGAAGTCTGACAGCATTATGTGACCAGATTGATGGAGAAGGATGTCTGAATTTGTTAGCATGAGGTGCGCAAGGATTGAGAAGCGACATACTCTCTGGCTTCAAGTCTCGGTAGATAAAACCCATCAAATGGAGGTATTCCAAGGCGGCTGTGACTTCAGCCGCATAGAAGCGTGCGGCATCCTCATCGACACACTTGTTTGGTCGTGTTTGCAGCGCTCTGAAGAACTCACCACCACTACAGTATTCCATGCAGAGGTAAAGATGATCCTCGGACTGGAAAGAGTGGTATAGAGTAACGATAAAAGGGTGGTTGCTGGTTGCCAGAATTTCCTGCTCGGCCAAGGCACGCTTGATCTTGTTCCGCTTGATCATTTCCTTTTTGCTCAGCACTGTACTTGTTAGCGCAAGTGGATTTGTAGTTACGAATTGGCTCGCATACCCTTCATAGCATATAGCCTGCTAGACTTCTTCTCCCGTACTAAGTATACCTTTCCAACATCGCCCTTGCCAATCAACTTGATCTTGTCGAAGCTCCCTGGCCCGACCTCGACGTTGCGGACCTTGATAGAGTTGGAGCTGTAGGTTCTCCTGAAAGCCACAGACTGGCGGATTTGGCCTGCCGAGGGTATGGGTTTGCCAGCTTCTATTGGTAGAAGATGAGTTGGATCTTGCGAATTTGTCTCGACCATGCTCAAGGTGGACGAGTTCGGGTGGTGTAGCACAGGCTGCTTGCCAAGTTCTGCGGTCTGTGGTCTCTCAGTGTTCTTCCCCGAGGAAAAGAGACCTTGGGCATTAGGTGCGGAAGCTACCCTTCGTAGTTTCCTAGCCAATTCCTCTTTCCCAGCATTCGTGGCGTGATCGTCGGTAGTCGCTGCGCCGTTCAGTTGCGTCTTGGGCACCTCAGGGGTGTCTGGAGGCGATGGAGGTACACTGCCGGCGTTGTGATGGCGCAGGGCCGGTGGTCCTTGGTGGGCGAAGTATGGGTTGGCGTGCGCGGTAGGCGACACGCTGTCATCCAAGGGGTTGCCTTCGCTGGCGACAGTCTGCGAGCGATTGCGCGAGATGTGGGGAATGAACCTCGACTGGCGGAAGCCCGACTTTTCGTTCTTGGGATTTGCCTCGTCGGAGAGCTTGCGGGTGTCGTTGCTGCTGTTGATGCGGAAAAAGTTCTTGATCCGTTGGGAGACCTGGCCATCCTTTGCATTGACTGACTTGTTGGTGGACAGCGCCTTGCCCGAGAAGGTGCGTTTCTCCGTCTTTTCGGCCATGGTGGAGTGACTTGATGCGGACGAGTTAAAGAGCTGCGTCATATCGGTTGCACAGAATCGATGCGAGGGTGCAGCGGGCGACTCTGGTGTGCGGAGTTCGGAGAGATGGCCGGGTGCAGGGAGGTGACGGTTGCGCGTTGCACGGTCAGTGGGCCATGGCACGTCGGGTGAGGTCAATGTCCAGGGTCGCTGTGCGGGTGGCTGGGGCGGCTTGGTGAAAGAATGACCCCGTCACTAAGGCGCAGGCACAGGCGATGGGAGAGGGAGATGCGGGCTGATGGTATTGGCGGCGAGGAGAAGAGGAGAAGAAGAGCAGAGAGTAGGGGAAAGAGGAGTTCGTGGCAGTATAGTAGGGCCAGCCAGCAGGTTGGGAAGGAAGGAAGCCAGAGCCGTGCCGGAGACCACTTGGGACTGCGGCGAATGATGGCGGAGGGCAAGTGGGGACTTCCGGATCCCTGTCTACCAAGGGAAGCCGCGTTCGAAGGCCAGCTAGCACCACAACCAGCCAGCAAGACAGGGCCGTCTCACTCGTCACCAATCAGCCTGCTACATGGCCATAGTCACAGCACATGTGTATTTCCAAGCAGCGCAAACCCTCGCTCTCACCTACACGCGATGGCGCCTTCGTGATGATGCATATCCGCCTTCCCGAGCCCTGCGCCGCGCCTCTGGCCTGAAATGACTACTGAACCGTCCTAGCACTTCCCCACGACTGGAGGACAAATCACGCTATTGCCCGATTTATCAGCAACGCGAAAGCATAACGGCACGTCATCGCACCAAACGCGGCTGTGTGAATCCGACACAAGATCCATCGTGATTGATTGACCCTTGGTCGTTGCCATGGTGAAGCCGTCTTACACTCCAACTACACAATGTATGCGCTGGAGATGATGTAGATGATGTATGACAGCTCACAAAAGACGCGCATGTTTCCGCCATTTCGTCCATTGACGACCGTCTCGGACGCCAATCTGTTCTAGAACCATTGCTATTTCAGTTTAGCGCAAGTTTCGGACCTCATCCGTCACTCCGATATATCGGCCGTGCACCATGAACCTCGTCAGCTCACTTTAAGTCCAAGGAACAAACCGGCTGTCACTAAACTATACTGATTATGAGACAAATCTTCATTATTCTACGATGCAACGGATGAGTATGCTGGCTACCTATTATACAATGACTGAATCTATACGCAAGATGCTGACAGAAAGGAGATGAGAAGGTGCATAGTTGACCAGAACGACTTGTCTTCGCCCATGACACATCCCCTGCCGCCTTCTGCTAGTCCACCTATTATCGGAACAAATGTTGAAGAAAAAACTCGGAGAATATCTGGGCCACCATAGCGACCACTGTGCCATAGTAGGGGGTTGCAAAAGAGACTTGTCAATCGGAAAGATGTTGTTGTTAAAAGGAGGTATCGATGATAGTGCTTACTCCATGAGAGTAATTCTCGGCCGAATTCAGAAGCAATCTCCTGTACGGAGAGGAGCGTCAAGAGTGGACTTGGTTCACGTCGAGGTCGAATAGATGCAATGACCTATCCAAGTAATCCGAAGTAGACGACGGCAGACCACAATCAACGATCAGGTGCGCGAGTTCCTACGATGCGCCTCGATCTCCTCGATCTCCGTCCTCTTCAGGTCCCGAAAGCGCTGTCGCCACTTGTCTGAACGTTTCTGCCTCTCGTCTGGAGACATGGTTCGAGGGTCGTCCTTCTTGCTACGTCGAAACTTGTTGGTCACCTGTTCCAGCTTCGCTTTTGCGGGTGAATGCTCTCCGGACTTCTTAGGCGAGCTAGGTGGGTTGGCTGGCGAAGATGTAGCAGCACTACGCTCGACATCCGCGGCCTTTGCTGGAGAAGACGTCGCTTTCTGCTTGCCCTTACTGCTGGGCACCTTGAAGCAGCTTGTACTGCTCTCCTCATATTCAAAGGGGACAGGTGCTTCAGCCGAACGAAGGTCCCCTGCAACCGAAGACTGACGCTCGTCAATAGGCGTATCGTTGATTATCTCCGACAAATCGTCCATGGCGCCGTCCAGTCCTGACAAGCGGTGGTTACCAAAGTGCCGAGGGACAGGTGCGCCATGGGTACCAAGTTCGCCCAGACTCACTTCCTTGAGCGTTGGGTAGAAGCGCTGCGAGCTCAGTGACGTGCCATAGTTGCGATTCTGGGTTTGATTGCCGAAGATATGCTGAACCACGCCACTGTCTAAGGGGTTGTTCGCCTTGGAAAAATTAATTGGATTCTTCATGCCTCGACTTGTATCGTTCTCGATGCTCGGAAACGCAGCCTGTCGGTAGTTAGACGCAAGCCTCCGTGGAACGTTCACTGGAGGGTTCAGGTGCTGCGCGGCAGAGGCGATGCGATGGCGTTCCGGAATAACTTCGCAGCGAGCCATGTATTGCACTGGAATTTCCTTAACATTCCCTTGCTGACCGTATCCCGAGTCACGACGGACATCATCTTGCAGATTGCCCTTCGTTGAGTGAATATTTTCCTGACCTCCATTGGCGTTGTTGTTGTTCAAAGGCATACTGGCAGCAGGATCTTGGGGAAGAGACCCGGCAACTAACGCTCGTAACGAGGGTGTCCTAGAGTCAATGCCGTGTTGATACTCAGCTTGACGCTTCTTCGACTCATCTGTGAGGAAGTGCAAAAGACCCTGAATGTAGCCTTGCAGAACCTCGGGACTGTCAGGAATGCCAACATGGTCGTAACCGGCCTGGTAGCCCTCCTGATATGTGGACGGAACATATGTCACCGGCTTGCCATGGAACGGCCAGTTCTCACCTATACTAGTACGTTGGTCCGAGTTGGCGCGTGGCGCGATGAAGCTACTCGAAGCGGAAGTGGACGTGTTGATGCCCATTGCAGGAGCTCGCTCAACCATGGTGGAGAAGGGCTTCTCAAAAGCGTTCTGCTGTACAGCAGTCATAGAAGGTTGTTTGCCAAATGCCTCAGGCCACGAAGTGAGCTTGGGCGCAGGCTCGTTTTGCCTTGAGCGACCAGAATCGCCTTCATTCCAAGGACTAGCAGGCCAGTGTTTCTCCGGTGTAGATGGGACAGCAGTATTTTCATCGGACGAGTGCCCGGTCTCCTTGGCCTGTGGGGCTACGCGTGTTGAGGAATGCTCATGTGTGTTTGTAGGGAAGAAATCCATGGTATCAACGCTAGACAGACTATGCTTCTGCGATGACGCCCGGCGGTCATGTTTGCCCTGTTCTTGCTGTTGTTGTGCTCGCCACGGAGATCGCCTCTCTGGCGAGGGAGTGGGCGGTACAGCGCCTTGCGTGGTGCTGGACTTGGTAACGGGCTCGTATGTAGGGCTCTTTGGGTTCAGGATAGATCCCTTCTTGACATCCTCTGGAGGTGGTGGCTTGATCTCAATAGCTCTAGAACGACGACTAGCTGATCCTGGAGGAGAATGAGGGGGGTTTGCCGCGGCTGGGACAAAAGGTGTAGGCTCGACAGCAGTAAAGTTGGGAAATTGACCAAAAGGCTGGGCTGAGGGTTGGAACATTGGCAGAGGTGAATACGGTGCTGCGAATGCGTACATGGGAGGAGCATATCCTGGCTGGTATTGCGATCCAAAAGTCGGCATAGGTGCTGAGCCTAAAGCGTTCGCTCCAGAGAAGGCGCTATGTTGAGCAGTACTACCCTCTGATTCATCGGCTGTTATTTGCTTTCGAAGCGCATCAAGCTCGACGATCAGGCACCGCTTCTTTTCGATCATTCCCGCGCGCCATGCCTCGCTCTGGTGACCAGCTTGCAATACCTCGGTCTGCTCTACTGTTCGCAGCTCTTGCTTCTTCAGCGCTTGTTGCGCCTTGAGTGTCGTCAGGTCCAGGCCAGCAAATGGTGTGTGAGTACTGGAACGTGATGGCCCAAAAGCGCCTCCCGTTTGAGCATTGTGAGTAGCCAACGTGGAAGCGCCCAGCATCTGTTTGGCCATCGTGTCCATAGTAGCGGGGCCAGTGGGAGGTATCGTGGGGTTGGTTGCGTTGACTGCTGGCAGTGCGAACATGCGATCACCAACAAAGATGACTGGTTGACCGCCAACGACTTCAACGCGAGCGGTATTGTTGCCGTTTGGTTGTGTCTGCAGTTGAGGGATATTGCCTGGGGCGACACGCAGTGGTGGTTGCGATCTGTAAGCGGTGTCGCCGTATCGGGACGTGCCGAGCGGTGGAAGATCGCTAGGAACTATACGGCCACCCGCGGTAACTCGTATACCAGGGGGACTTCCGTGTTCTTTGAGGAGTTTCTCTGCTTTACCACGCTTAATCGACGGCGTCGGCGATGGCCGCTTCTGAGGGCCGAAAGGGACGAGAGCCGCCGGAGTGGGCACACGTAGGCTTCTGTTCGATGCTCTGCTAGACAGATTTGCCGAAGCGGACACCGAGGGGCGTAGAACGTGTTCTGTATATGAGGACGATCAGCTGTGCTCGCCTTATAGCAATGGTAGTAACCAAGACGACGAGGCTTGAGGTGGTGTAGTGTAGTAGGGATCGTCGGTCGCAGCGTGTGTGGTTGAGGGCGTGCAGGATACGCCGCATCTGGATACTATACTCCTTGGTGGAGAAGGTGGAAGGTGAAGGAGAAAGGTGAAGGACAGAAGAGGGCAGGTCCGGGACTGACCTCTGATCACATCCTCATTAGGAAACTTCTCAATCGACACAGCTGATTCCGACACCGAGTCGCGAAGTGCAAGCAGTTCGTCCACCTTGTATGCGAACGACATCATGGAGGGTCTGTCACCCTAAGTGGGTACCGTAGACAGCGAGCCGCCAACCTGATTGAGCCGCTGGTATTATGGGGTCAATGAGACGTGGAGCTGGAGAAGCGAAAAAGGTTGAGACGGTGTGATGTGAATATCCTGCTTTCGTCAGTATGACTTCCTTGCAGCATACGGTACTTCAATATTGGGGGTATAGTTGAGGGTCATGATTGGTGTAGCAGAGATGACATACCTCAAATCTGATCGATGGTGAGGCAATGCGAACAAGAAGTGAACGACAGCTATCCAAAAAGCCCAAGTGCAGCAATGCGAAAGATGGCGAGACGGAACAAGAAGATGGAACCAAAATGAGTGTGTTGAGGAGAAGGACAGAGGAAGAGGTTGCGTAGGTTGTTATACCCTGCATTCTGCCGCAACTGCCAGTGTAAGAGACGATCGGGGTTGGCCACTGAGGAAACAGACGACACAGCGACGATGTAGGAAGGGTTGAAGAAGAGCATCGTGAGATTTATAGAAGTGGACATGCGGACGAGCGCGGCTGCTAGGTGAGATTGAGAAGGCAAGAGCAGTCGACACTGAAGACATGGATAAGCGAATACTCCGGCTTTTACTCCGGCATTCAGGCGCGACGATAGAGTCTCATATGTGATGCAAGAAGAAACTCCCGAGTACTAAGCTCTAGGAATGAGCGAGCCACCTACTGGCTCGTTGAGAAACCGCAGATGTAGAAAAACTCGACGCACACACTCTTCTGAAGGCAGATGAATGCTGCGTAAGCCTGGGCATACAGCTCTAGTAGAGAATATGAGCATACAAAGTACGGTCACACGTACTTGGGTAACAAAGCTCGCTGGCTTCCAGGGTCCTATCATAGTTTTCCTCTTAACGCCTTGACGCCCTCGCTATGCTCCATGCTGAATATGCTGTACCATATATGTCTCTTCGCGCCTCCTGCTCATGTATTTCGATGTTCAGAACACTTCTGACGTCCTCTGTACCTTTACCTCCTCCTTGTGGGTCTAGCACTAGGCGGCGGCGCCGACTCAAAGGCGTCATCAGACTCAATCTCATCATCACTCTATGCCCATATTAGCTCAACCTTTATCAATACCATTATCGTCACTTACCGGCTCCTGAACAGCCTTCTTTCCCCTCGACGGCGCAGCTCGCGTGGGCTGACTACGCTGCGTAAGCGTCTGCGAGAAGTTCAACTTTGTCTGCGTAGCCGCAGATCCCGCCTTGACCCTTGTAGTCGTCGTCTTCTTAGCCGGCGACTTGGCCTTCGCCGGGGGTTTGGTTGTCGTCCTCGCAGCGGCCTTCCTTGCCGGAGGTTTCTTCTGCGAGGCAACGAAAAGGTCTTCCGCGCTATCTTCGTCATCTTCTTCTGGAACTTCTTCATCGTCGTCATCGTCGATCATGATCACGTCTTCGTCGTTATCAGATTCCTCTTCTTCGACAACAGCCTTTTTCTTGCCTCGGCCGCCTGTAGCTCTGGCTACTGGCGCAGCCTTCTTAGGTGCGGCCTTTTTGGCAGCAGCGGCAGTTGCACGACTTGTGCCAGCCGCTTTGCCGCGACCGCGTGGAGCAGCTTTCTTCGTGGTTATGGAAGCCAAGCTCTCGTCATCGTCTTTCTCGCCTTCATTGTCAGAACGGATGAGAGCAGCAGGCTGATCAGCCCAAGACCCGTCGAAGTCACTGTCCCATCCAGCTGGCTTGGGTTTGACCTTTGACCTCCGTGTCTTCTTCAACTGTCCTGAAGCGAACAGATCCTCCAGTTGTTCGCGATATTCCGCCATCTCCTTGGTAATCTCTTCTTCTTCGATTTCGTTGGCGGCCATGAGGTGCTTGAGCTGATTTTTGAGGCTGTCTCCAACGAAAGTCTCCATGGCATGCTTGTCGTCCTTGTCCACAAACTGGGACACTGCATCTCCAAAGGAATTCTGCGGCAAGATTGTCAGGGTTTGAGCTGTGAGGAATTCTTTGACCAGCTTGTCGACCTTGACTGAGTCTATCGAAAGCTCAGCCAGGATATCCTCGTCTGGCTCTTCAGCCGTGCTCTTCAATGCGCGGTTCGCTGGTTTCTTTTTCCGGTGAAACTGTACAATATCGTTGATGTTGGCTACCTTACCCATGAAGCGATTCGAAATACGCTGCGGATTCTCGCAATGGAATTCGCCCCCTCCTGGAGCTGTGTACTCGACACGCAGTCGGACAAGCGGTTTTGGCGGTTCGATGTCATCGTCTTCTTCCCTGTCTTCTTGAAGTTCAAGCCACTCCCTGTTCGCTTCCTGAATCAGCTCCTCGATAACCTGGTTCAGGTATTGGGTTATCTTTGCACGGTTATCGCTGACATCGCGGACGCGCCATATCTCTTTTTCTTTAATTTCCCTCTCTTCTGCAAGCACAATTTCTTTCATGATAAAGGGTCTGACCGTTTTCAGGCGGATGTTTTCAGTTGTAAACTCTTTGCCAGTGACGCTCAAAATGCAAACGTGCTTGGGAACCGCCTCTCCAGGCATCAATGACGTAGCCACTGAGGAGCCGGGCTGCATGACATGGAAGCCCATCTCAGGGTTGTATCGCGGGTCAATCAAACATTCGTGCTCGTGACCCCATACAACAAGATCCATAAACTCTGGTAGAAAGTTCTCGGGAAGATAGCTGGTCGGCGTATGTGCATGATGATTTTGATGCACGCTCATGAGGTTGAACCACTCGTCCTTTTGCATACCAGGTTGGAAGAACTTGACATTACCGTCCCGCCAGGTGTGGAACAAGCGCTCATCACGAACGTTGCTGAGACCGTAGAGAGCGAGTTTGGTGCCGCCCTTTTGAAGTAGCACAGGCTTCACTGCGATTTTATCGACTTCCGGTGTGCGACCAAAATAGTTGACGAAGCCAGACGCCTGCAACAGATCGAGAGGAGAGAACGAGCCTTCGCCTGACGGGTCGTCGTGATTACCATGAATGGCAAACACAGGTATAGCAATGTTTATATCTTCATCCTCGTAGTTGACGTGGTCGAACATGCCCCCAAAGTTCTCGCTTGCATCGCTCAGCATCTCCAGTTCGCATGGCTTCTCGCCGAGACAGTTCTGACGCAGTGATTTCATGACATGGTACATGGACTTCCTCGACGGCTTGTTCTCGTGAAAGAGGTCTCCCGCATGCAGTACCATGTCCACATCGTGCTCTTTCGCTAGGCACATGACTTCGTGGAATGTCCTCCAACTGTCGTCCTTTCGCTCTGCATCGCGTTCATTATATCCGACATGGCTATCTGTGGCGACAAGTATCCGGATCGTGTCTGCGCCTAGAAGTCTCGTTAGAACATGCTTGTCGATACATCTCAAGTTTGCCCATACTCTGCTGCGCACCGCGTCGTGGGGGCATAGTGGGCGGCTGATCTGTGGTAGTTCGGCTCCGTGACTTCTGGCGCTGGTGGGAGTGATTCCGCGAATTCAATGTCTCCCTTGAAGCACTGTAGTAGTCTCTCCAGGCAAACACGCCACTACAGGCCAAAAGATGGCGAGCAATTACTCACGACTCGCGACGCGCTTCCGCCTAAGCCAAGCCCCTAGCGTCCCCCGCGTTCTCACGTGCATTTCGTGAGGCCATCGGAAGCCGTCGAAAACATTCGCCGACCTCATCTTTCACGCCCTACGTCGCAATGTTTCCCACACGGGCGCTCTGCGCTCGATCGGTCTGGAAAGGTGAGATACTACGCATTGCTTCCAAATCCTACAGGATCAAAAGACTAACGTCCTGCTAGGACCCAATATCGTCCCGTAAGCCACTGCAATCAAGCCCTGCGAAAACCGCCCTAATCATCTCGAAGCCTACCAATAGTACAGAAAAAGGCTGGCGAAAGGACGCCGCCGATCAAGACACAAGCGCGCTCGGCTACGATATTACCGAATTTCGTCGGCCTCAAGTTCCAGATACACAACGGCAAGGGCTACCTAGACCTCACCATAACTGAGGACATGGTAGGACGTAAGCTGGGAGAATTTGCGCCGTACGTGTGCCAAAACCTCCATGTCTTACTGGAGCTGGTTGGAGATAGATCGACGAAGCGCTGACATGTTATTCTAGAACACGGAAGCAGTTCACATACAAGCAGACGAAGAACAAATGAGCAACGGGAAACAAGTGCATCAAATGGGAGTTTGGGTATCATTTTGGTTTATCTAGAAGCCATTCTGTACTGCTATTGTACAAATATGATGGAGCCCTCTGCTTGTGGGCCAGATGCCTCAATCTTCCCAATGGCCAAGTACCCTGCGCCTGTGATGCCGGTTCCAAACGCCTAAAATGCATGTCGATATCCCAAATTGCCACATCCCGTCATGAACCAGCTTTCATGTAGTGCTGCCTAAGCAAAACCCGTGGACTTAACGGTAGAACTCGCCACGTTTGATGTTGACTCCGTATTCGCCTACTGCCATGCCCAGATCCTCCATAGTGAGCACGGTTCGGCCTTGACTGCCACCTTGACCTCCACCACCATATCCTGGTCGCTGGATGCCAAGGTTGTAGTCCTTGGTCTTTGAGCCACTGTCCTTTCCACCAGGCGCACCACCAGGTGCAGCAGCTGCCGGGGCTCCTCCTGCCCCACCCATGGGGTTGTTACTCGTGGTGTTGGACGACCTGATGCGAGAGAATTGGTAGGCGTCGGCCGCAATGTCGGCGATGAATTTCTGTGTCGCCAGAGCGAGTAGACGTGCAAGATGTTGTGATGTCTGGGGTGGCGGTGGCAGACCGGCGCGGGTCAGGTAGTAGTTGGTCACTGCATCGGGTATCTGGTCGCCTGGTTAGTTCGCGATGCTTGGTATGAGGACGGGACGCGGCATACGATAGGCGCATAATCATCCATCTTGCCAAGGAACTCGCGCAACGTCGCATCCTTCTTCGCTGGTATGCGCGCTTCAAACGCGGCGGCCGAGTCTGTTACACCGTTGACTGTCGCGGGTTCGGCATCGTTTGCGCCGTCGAGGTTCATGGCGTCGGCTTCCAGTTGTGTCGCGTCTTGCTTGATCTCGTCATCCACCGCGTGGTCGAGTTCGTCGTTGACCTCCATGTTGGTGTCTGGGGGCTGCGAGTTTTCTTCAGACATGGTTGCGATGCGAATGATATGAGTTGCGACGTGGTGCGAGGTATGACGTGGGGTGGATTGATTGGATTGCGGACTGCGGAGACAACGCGGGAGTGAGTGAACGGCGAGCCAAGCACGGTCGCCCAATGCGGTAAGCCCAAAAGGAGCCAATCGGAGTGGTTATAGCCCAACTACCAGCACTGCATCTCTCAACGACGCGTTTTCACGTTGCCTTCTAAAGCCTTTGACTTATGGTGATTCTGACGAGTGAATCAAGATGCCACAGTCGGCACATGAGAGGCCAGATGGGACGGTTGCGGCTGTTTGCGCTACCACAAGCTTGGGGACCCTGAGCGATTGCCGGAGCACCTGACCCAGGCAAAGAGCCAACCAAGGACATGAAGGTTCAGCCTTGTGTAGCTGCATCTCCAGATACATGCATACTCGATGGATATGACAGCTTCTTTTGCTTTGCGTTAGTGACAACTGCCCGGTTCGCACTCTTTGACACTCCAGGTTGACACCAAGCCGTCTCGTCTTCAACCGCGTTCGACTTGTAATACATCATTTTGATCATTCTTGCGAACCCTTGATCCTCGATCACTGTTTACGAATGACATGTGATACTGCACTCTACGCGTCTCTTCTTATGATACACGTACACGCAGAGTCCGCATGACAGGCAGCAGACCAGTCACTTCACACCACACTACGCAGCGAGGCACCCACCGGATGGCATATCACCAGCCATGGCCATAATCATCGATCTACCACCAGAAATCCTGGAACAGATTTATCACTACTTAGGTAGCATCGACGACGTCCACCACTTCGGACGAATGTGCAGTAAGACTCATCATGTCATCCAAAAACAAAACATCTACCTCGAGATCATGCGCTCAATCATTCACTCTTCACCCCAACACCGCTATGACTTCCAGCTTTGCAGATCCCTCGACCTCCATCGCAAGATCGTAGCGCACTTGGAACGACATCCTATGCCATTCGCTGCCAGCCAACCCGGAGTCTTCAGTTTCAGTATCTGGGAAACGCAATTGATGCAGACTGCCAGGGGTTGTTCTAGTCCGGCTGAATGGACAGATGACATGGTTTGTGACATACTGGCAAGGTACCAGGGGCTGCGTGTTCTGGAGAACATTTGGCTGGAACGAGAACTTCAAGAGCAAGATTTCCTATCTGTGGATGATACCTCGGATGCACAGCGGTTTGTCCATCGCTTTGCAACACTTGTTGATCGCGAGCAGAAGTTCAGAGACGGAGACCTACCTCGAAGGAACCCGAATACGCCGCATACATGGTATTACACTGAATTGAACGCGGATCAGAGAGAGCGTTTCTATGCCGCTGTAACCTGTGTCTGGCTCCTCAACGAGATACGATGGGTCTTGACCAACTTTGCTTATCCGGCAAACTTCACTGTTCAGATCGAGATTCTGGGGGCGTTGAAGGCGAGGATAGAAATGGAGACTAGGACACCACTACTGGACGAACTGGATCGACACGCCGTGTTCACGTTCATGTACCATCATCTACTTCCCCTCCACGCTTTATTTATGGCAGATGCAAGCTCCTCAAAACTACCCTTCACATTCGCGTCCGACTTTTCCAAGGACACGGCTCATTGCACCAGGTACGTACACTTTACCTACTCACTTTCCCTGTGTCAATACTGGCCCTTACCGTTGTTAGATTACTCCAGCTCTTCCTCATGGCCTCTCAAACCTACTTCCAACCCCCTGACCTCGTCGACCTAACGCTCCGCTCCCGCACATCTCGTAAGCCGCCTTATCCCCTCCTTTCGACTCCCTGCTCAACCGAAAAATACCGTCGACCCCTCCCCTCCCTCTTCTATCCCGGCCACGACCTCAATTGCACACACCTCAAACCGTCCTTCCAACGCACATCGATCGCACACCTCACCTTGATAACGCGTTCGTCGTTCCATCAAACTAGTCATGATATGAGTCAAGGGGGTATCAGTCCATCGGCGCTTGGGGAAGCCTTGTTCAAGGTTCCGGACCATGCGAGGCGGTACCTTGTGGATCGTGTCTTGGTGGCGTTTGAGAAGGACGAGGTGAGGGAAAGAGGAAAGAGGGAGATGAGAGGGGTGTGGGGAAAGAAGTGGAGCATAGTTGGGTGGGCGGTTTGGTGGTGGGCTGGGAGTGAGGAGAAGGCTAGGATGAAGATGGAGAGATTGCGGGCAATCGAGCAGTGAGTTTGATCTAGACTTGTACGGAAGATTCAACCGTATTGTAGATGCCTTCGCCAGACTTCGGCGTACTGGAGCTTCAGCTGACGATGGTGTGTACCTTGAGGATGTGTTCCTGTTTTGCATCTATTGTTGAGCATCTATAGACTTTATCCTTGCGAATGTCTTGTCACTCTGGTTTCTTCCGACGTTTGTAGCAATCGTACTGTTCTGGATATATATCATGGAAAATACTCCATATAGCCCTTGTGGATACTATCTAGGTGGCCTGTGATTCTTCTGCGTGCAGAATATAGTCTTGAGGGGGCGCAATGGATACCAAGAGGTCCTATATATAGTGCTCATTGATGGTCACGTTCGCATGCCTCAGATTTGATCGGGTGAGGTAACTATTAATGGAAATTTATTTGGTCTGAGGTAATCGCGGGTCGGGGCGAGGCAGCATGTACCGGGATTATGGATGGTGCGAATTGTAATCGTCGGGTGTTGATTCGGACTTGTTTAAACGCTGTGAGATCCCAGCCACCGTTCAAGGTTCTGCAAGCTGCATCAAGGCAGATCGTAGGTTTAATATAGACGTGCAACGGAGAAGGCCGAAAGTAGTTGACAAGGCACAGAAATTGTTTGAAATCAATGTCGGATATATGAAACATGGGGCTGCCGAGGCGCATGCAACAAGCCTCATAAAAGTGTGGCGGTGATAGGATATTCGCATGTCCAAGCCTCGCGGCATGAATGTCATATCCACGTTGACGTGCAGCATCAGGCGCCTTGGTCTTGCTACAAAGAGTTAACACGCGTCCAACGGGATTAGCATTCGCAGCTTATCAGTACCGATGTACTGGATGCAGCGGCTAGAGTGTGTGAAGACATGGTGGTGCTCCTGATGGAGCGGAGAAGGTGGACAGTTGAGGCCTAGTTGGCTAGGCATAAGAATGAAGGCTTGTATATTGCAGACAAACAATACGGGCTGGTTTGGAGCTCCCGGCAGGATTCGGAAAGGTCAATGGCCGCAATTCCGTTTTCCCGTAGGGCACAAGGATCCGTAGATGGCTCGCTCATGGTGCCGGCCATTGGCAGAGGAACGTGAAAGTGCCGGCACGACACGGCCCTCACCGAGGAGGCGGCCGAAGCCCAAGATTGGAGGTAAGCAGGTGCACGGGAACGGCCAGCCGGTGGAACTGGCTGTTTTGTTGAAGTGCAGGCAGCCATGTATAAAACTACCTTTTGCAAATGAGGGGTCGATGGGGTTCGCGAGACGTCATTGGCGTGTTGGAGCGCGTCGAACTGAAATGGTGGAAAGCAAACGCAGAACCACGGCGGCCGCAGAGGGTTGCCAGCATAAGTACTTTCATAAAGCGTGCAAGCCGCACGTCATCTGCTAGTCACTGGACGGCCGCTCTCGGGAACTGGGCGAGGGAGTGGTGAATGCGCCGAAGTAGCGTGGGCTGTCGGGTTCTCTAGAGCACCACCTTAACGAAAGAAAAATTCGCGCTTGAAAGTGACCCTCTTCCTCCCACCTGCGCTTGCTTCTCCCGCACACACGACAGCCAATTTTCTTTCCTGGCGCCCCGTCTGCCTTGATCACGTCGCATACGACCCTCAGACGCCGCCTCTGCCCGCTCCGTGATTGCTGCTTGCACGTTACACAAGCCTGTAACTCGACCTTGGTGTGCCTGGAGCCCGTACCTCATTGCACCCTCCAACCCTCATTATCCACCCACCACCCACCGAGCAGCACTCTGGTTCCGCCGACGCAGCCTTCTCTGCCCCTTCTCCGCGACCTCCAACCCCGCAGTCAGTCAAGGCTCACCCCAGAGGTTAGTTCTGCGCACCTTACCGCCCACGTCCGCCGCATGCTTGCTACCTGCTTGCTCCCCGCCTCGAGTTCGCTGGGCACTTTGCGCATGATTTTTTCCTCTTGCCGCTTCTAAGACCCTTCCAATAGCCTTGTGTGATAGATTCGCACTCCTTCCCGTTTGCATTTGGCCCGCCCACGCAGTCATTTCGACTTCTTGTGCGCTCCCAGACCTAGCACTGCCCACATACATCACTTGCCTCCACCACTACGCCTTGAATCATACTCACCTAATTTTTTCCTGCGCTTCTTTTCTTCGCTAACGCCAGCCACTACAGTACGCGCAAACACCGTTCCACTCCCAGCAGTGAAATAGGAAGCATTCACTTTCCTCACATCGTGTGAGACCGCTACAGTACCGAGCCGTCGTTCAGCACACTACCTAGCTCTCCACCACTGCAGAGCCGCATCGCCGCAACATCGCTTAGTCGCCAACACAAGGCCCTGGTAGCGACAAAAGAGTTCACGTGCGGGGAGGCCAAAAACACCTCTCCGGACATATCAGCGTCGACACCTGTTGGCCAGCTTGCCGCAGCGCTCCCATCGGGGATTCTAAGCGCTTACTCTCGTCTAACCAGCCGGACTTTATTCGAGACTCACACACAGACCAACATGTCTACATTTTCATACGCGCAAGCCGCGAAAGGCGTCTCCACGCCAGCGACCACAAGCAAGTCGGCATCCGGCTCTGCTACCCCAGCCAAAGACGGCAACAGCGCATCTGGTCAAGAAGCCACTGCCTCACCCAGCAACTGGGCTGAAGATGTCGAGTCTGAGTCGCGCCCTGCGCAACCCGCCAAAGCCCAGGAGGCGCAACCAGAACAAACCGTTCCCAACGCGGTCAAAACTTCACAGCCTGTAGATGCCTCCAACGAATCCTCGCCGGATCTCGCCTCCTCCACCTCATCAACCGTCACTAAGGACGACGATGTT